ATTTATCTTCCGGTGTAGTTTTTAATTAACAAACAGAGATCTGTGAAAATAAAAATATTTTGCTTAATAACTTAATTGCAAAACAAAGGAATAAAAATTAATAAAAAATAATGAAAATTAAATCTTTTACAAGTTTTTAAGTGAGATGAACATTATATTGTTATAATTTATGCAGTAATTATCATTAGACTGTGAAAATGGTAATGAAGTAAAAAATTATGGATATCAATGAATCAAACTTACGGATTATGTGCATGGTAAAAGAGAAGTTTCTTTGCATCTAGCAATGTCTGAAATTTTATCGAACTCATTTTCAGTGCACATGTGGAATCAGTTATATTAATGTGTTCAGATAACACAATGGAACAAAAAAATGTTGTGGTTTCATACAGGAAGTCTATACATCCATGAAAGTAGAGGCCAAATCTAGCTTGTCACTGCACTTTGTTTGACAAATCAAGTCCTATGTATTTTATCTGCAAATTTAGGATTTTTAATACATAAAAGCTACTGTAGTTAGTGAGGTGGAGTTTTTCAATCGTGAAATACAGATGCTTCTCGACTTACAATGTTTCAACATGTGATATTTTGCACATACAATGCAAGTGAAATAGAAGTGTGAGAAAACAGATTTTAAATTCAAGCTGCTCTACTGATGCATTAATGATCTTTCTTAACACTTTCTTTTATATATACTGTACCATCTTATATCTTCTTGTGTTTTACAGTATATCCATTATGTTTGCGAAACACCATGCTGTGTCTCAATGAGAAGTTTAAGATATATCTTAAGCGTGGCAGTTATGGCAATTGCTTGTGAGTTTGGGCTGTTGCAATCAATGATAGCCCAAATTCACGTTACATACTGTATAACCTTGCTTATAGCTTTTGTTTTTTTTTTTTTTTTTACTTGCAATATTTTTTGGAAAGTCACCACATCATAAGTCAAGGAAAGACTGTATTATATTTTTATAAAAAATTGATTGCCAAATCTGAAAATAAAAATGAAACAGTTTGAAGCAAATATTGTGATTAAAACACTCATTTTCAGATGGAAAACTCAATTTAATTTTAATCACCATTTTTACAATTTTATTCCTTATGTTAAAGAAATAAACCAGTCTCTACATAATCATAAAAAACTTGTTACTTTCAGCAATTAGTGATTTTGATGATATGTAATTTTACATTACAAACTAATTTTGTTATATTGATAAAATTTTGTGTATTGGATATCATTGGATAGAAGTTTTTCTTAAAATTTATTTTTCAGTGTTTACTAAAATTAAGTAATTCAGACAAAAAATTTGTTCAAATCTGTTTCAAATACTAAATTTGAAATAGATTTAAATAAATTTACACTATTATTAAAACTTGTGTTCTAAATTTGATAACAATATTGAAATAATGTGTGTGTCGAATGATTTGAAGTAACACAGATTATAAATCATATTTGCAAAAGGATAATAATTTATTGATGAATATTGGTTTGTTTAACCAGTATTACATTATTACTTGGTATTAGATAATTTTATCCTGTTTTCATATTTCAGTCTTCAATAATGAAATTAATTGTTTTAAGATACAAATTTATACCAATTATTTTAAGTAATATGAAAGCTCTATTCATTATATGCTCTGTTTTGTAATAATTTTTTATTCTAGTTTATTTTATTAAAAAGAAAAGAAAAATATTTTAAACCCAGTTTAATTCCTGCTTGTTATTTAGTATAATATAATTTAGTTATTTAGTAATTTAGTTTATTTAAAATATAACTTGTAACAAAATACAATGTATTAGGAATGTTAATTTACACATATTTAAATTTTTTGTGTTATTTGCAGTACAAAATCAGCTCTTTAATAATAATAATAATAATAATAATAATACTTAAGTGTGCATGTATAAAATTTCTTATGATTAACTTCTATTAACTATTCATTTACAAAATTATTTATCTCTCTATCTGTCTACATACATTTAGGTCTAGTACAGTGTTTCTCAGCCTCTAACGAATCATCATCCCCTTCAACGTAGTATTGTCCCCTTCAATAAAACCGTTACGTAGTATCGCCACCTTCACTTTAAAATTCATATGCCGAAGGCCAAGGCTAACACCAAATTCGTACTGCATTGAATAGACTATTGACTAGTATAATGTTATTTGTTTAATTATTGTACAATATAATAAATAAAATATCTAATTATTCTTAATATGTTTTACTATATTGCCCAGAAAATTGTTTTTTGCCCCCCCGAAATATAAATTGTTACAAATCTTCCCCTCAACATGGAAAAACACCCACATGGGGGCGATATTGCCTCCATTGAGAAACACTGGTCTAATAGATCATGTGATGATAATATAAGCCTCCACTTGTTCCTATCATTGGTTTTCTGTCTTTAGTCCTCTAAATTCAATCTTTGCATTTTGTTTAATACATTATGCAGCCATCTCAGTTTTGATCTATCAGTAGAACGTTTGTCCTCTTATGGAAGTTAATTTTCTGGGTTAATTTGTCATACACTATTCTTATAACTGGATCTGCTCGGCTTAATCTGTGCCTTTTCACAATCCTTGCAATGCTTGGTTTATAGTGCTCTTATAACACATTTATCTTCCTCCTTCATTCTCTAAGTTAGTTTCATTATTTTCAATTGGATCTCATATTTTTGACTTACAGAATACATTTTGTAAAAACAATCTTAAATATTAATATATTGTTATAAATTAAATTAAAATGAAAATATTTATTTTTAGATAAACCTACACTTCCCGAAGATTACCAGCAACAAACATGGCAGAAATTACGAGAAGCTGTGATAGCAATCCAAACTTCACGTTCAATAAGTACCTCACAAGAAGAACTGTATCAAGCTGTTGAAAATCTCTGTTCTCATAAAATGTCTGTACAAGTTCATGAAAACTTACGACTTTTATGTGAACAGCATGTAAAATCCAATGTTAATCAGTTTTTAGAATATCCTTTATTATTATTATTATTAATAATAACTGTTTGTGAATATAATAACATATACATCAACCCAATAGATAGTATTACCAAATGATCTGCTGGGTTGTATATTGGACTATATTAAGGTAACTAATAATCAGATACAAAGCAGTTTGGCTAGAGGTAGGCAGTTAAGTTATCTTCATGATAAATTTTAATTTCAATTTAGAATATTCTGGAAAAAAAAAATTGGCCCATAGCAGACCTTGGAATTCCTGTTTAAGTGGGAAGAATACTACATGTTTTTTGTTGGCCAACTGCAATTGGCAGAGATGGGTTGTTCTCAAACATTGTTAGGCAACAAGCCTAACAATGTTTGTGGACAGAGTAAACACTAGACAACATTTCTGGCCATTAGTCATAATAATGAATGTTGGTCATTGAAAATTGGTGCTAATATTATCTGATATTTGCTGATTGGTTTTGGTGACATCAAACTTTTAGAAAACCAATATTTGTTACAGACCACATTAGGCAGCAAAATCATGTAGTGTTCTGCTTTACTGTGCAGTTGTGTTGCCAGTTACACTGTGGATAATGTAATATTGCCAACCTCTAGCAAAATTGTTTTATATCTGATTATTAATTAACCTTGCCTTAATATGGCCTGATATATAATTTGGCAGATTATTTGGTAAAACATAAAATGTTATTAACTTTTTTAAAATATTAAAATATTTCAGAATTATATGATGATAAACATTTTAGAAACTACTATGATTTATTAGATGTATAAACTCATATTCTGTTTTAATCATGTTAAAAAGTATAATCAAAAACTTATTACTGATTATGATAAAATTCCTTTTTTAATTCAAGCTGGCCCAGACTTCAAAATTTACCATAAAAAAGAGGAAACAGAATGTCATTTTCTATCTTTTGTTTCATGCTGGCCAACTCCAATTCCCATCTATATTGGACAGAATTGTAGTTAATTATAAGCTTAATATGCTGGATGCTTTGTATTAATAAATCAATCAAGTACTTGCATATAAAGATATTTCTTAATATATAAATTTTTCTGAACAAGAATAAATTTATAAATTTTCTTTTAAGATCTTTTAATTAATTCATTGATTGAAAAATGTTAGAAATAGCAACAAAGAAAAGTTTGTAAAATTAGCTTTATATAGATATATAAATTAGCTAGATATTTATTACATTTGAATAAAGTAAGATATGGTTTAAAAAAATAATGAAACAATCTTCAGGTTTTCCAGTCCATTCAGAATTGATCCTTCAATCACAATACCCCATGAGAACTCAGAATTGTGCACTGATGATATTGTACAATTAGCATAAGAAATAAAAAGTATAATTTCTCATTGGAGGTTTTAGCAATTTGTGAAAAATGCTTGATTTGCAATTTTTAATATTACAGTTTTGTTGAAAATTTGAGTCAAGCTCTTTTGAATCTGTGTACAATACAGAAAAAACAATTGCGTGTGTGCGCAGTATGTTTACTTTTTATATAGTACATGTTTGTATATTCTTTTGTCAGCATTGAAAAGTGAGATATTTGCCTGACGTCAGTCAGGCAAATATCTCACTTTTTATGAATACAGTTTTTTTATTCTGTATGTATGTATGTATGTGTGTATATATATATATATATATATATATGTTACCGGCTAAACTCGATTTCAGGCCAAACTAGTTTGTCCTACGCATGTCAGGATATACTAGTTTAGCCTAGGATAATCTAGTTTGGCCTAAATACTTTAGGCTTAACTAGTTTGACCTAGGCCGAACTGATTTATATACTACAAATAAATGCCAGTGTAAAAAAAAAAACTTATTTTGTGTAATTCGAAATGACACCACATTACACCTGGTGGTTAAAGTGTACCTATGTAACCCCAATGGCGGTGCTTCGGTTAGGTTGGTTTGGTTAGGTTAACTACATTTTTAGTACAAGTTTCTTGTTTTTTCTTTTGTACAAGAACTACTGTGAATCAATAACTAGTGACGTTAAACAATGGGCGGCCTGCCGGTGGCTCCCCTTCGGGAGGAGTCCGCTGTGAGCAAGAACAGTCCGAAGTGCCGCCATTGTGGTTACCTAGGTACACTTTAACCCACCCTGTAAAAATAAATAAAACATTAAATATTTTATATGTTACACTAAGAAACACAAACAAGTTCATTTTTAATTTTAGTTTGACTTTAAAAGTTATTTTGTTTGAATTTTTGAAAATAATTTCAAAAGTTAATTACCTTTAAAAGTGCATGGCTTCATAAAAAAATACAAACTGATAAGTACTGATTAGCTTATTTTATTTTATAGTTTTGTACAAGTGTTGTGTCACTTCTAAGCAATACTGTTTTTTTATAATTAAGTAGACTATATATGAATAAATATTGTTCATCTAATTGATTGTCTTTTAATTTTATTTTAACCATTAATATACTTAAATCAGGCCTGGCCAACTTGCAATCCGTCACATTAAATTGTGTGGCATGCTAAGCAACATTATATATCTGTTAAAACTTTTGTTTTCCATTTTGTGTATACCAAAACAATTAAATAAATGAAAATTTGCATGTCATTGTTATAATACGCAAGTGCGAGTACGAACTCTTGGTATAACAATGAAATCTTATTCATTTTGTATTCGTTTTACTTTTTTAAAAGCCTGTTTGCCTAAATTGTGGCCCATTGTAATGTTACGCTTGATCAAAGTGGCCCGCGAAACAATTTGTGTTGGCCAGGCCTGACTTAAATAATAATTCTAAATCATTTCGGCCTAGGACAAACTAGTTAAGCCTAAAGTATTTAGGCTAAACTAGTATATCCTGACACGTGTAGGATAAATTAGTTTGACCGGTAACATATATATATATATATATAGATCTNTATATATATATGTTACCGGCTAAACTCGATTTCAGGCCAAACTAGTTTGTCCTACGCATGTCAGGATATACTAGTTTAGCCTAGGATAATCTAGTTTGGCCTAAATACTTTAGGCTTAACTAGTTTGACCTAGGCCGAACTGATTTATATACTACAAATAAATGCCAGTGTAAAAAAAAAAACTTATTTTGTGTAATTCGAAATGACACCACATTACACCTGGTGGTTAAAGTGTACCTATGTAACCCCAATGGCGGTGCTTCGGTTAGGTTGGTTTGGTTAGGTTAACTACATTTTTAGTACAAGTTTCTTGTTTTTTCTTTTGTACAAGAACTACTGTGAATCAATAACTAGTGACGTTAAACAATGGGCGGCCTGCCGGTGGCTCCCCTTCGGGAGGAGTCCGCTGTGAGCAAGAACAGTCCGAAGTGCCGCCATTGTGGTTACCTAGGTACACTTTAACCCACCCTGTAAAAATAAATAAAACATTAAATATTTTATATGTTACACTAAGAAACACAAACAAGTTCATTTTTAATTTTAGTTTGACTTTAAAAGTTATTTTGTTTGAATTTTTGAAAATAATTTCAAAAGTTAATTACCTTTAAAAGTGCATGGCTTCATAAAAAAATACAAACTGATAAGTACTGATTAGCTTATTTTATTTTATAGTTTTGTACAAGTGTTGTGTCACTTCTAAGCAATACTGTTTTTTTATAATTAAGTAGACTATATATGAATAAATATTGTTCATCTAATTGATTGTCTTTTAATTTTATTTTAACCATTAATATACTTAAATCAGGCCTGGCCAACTTGCAATCCGTCACATTAAATTGTGTGGCATGCTAAGCAACATTATATATCTGTTAAAACTTTTGTTTTCCATTTTGTGTATACCAAAACAATTAAATAAATGAAAATTTGCATGTCATTGTTATAATACGCAAGTGCGAGTACGAACTCTTGGTATAACAATGAAATCTTATTCATTTTGTATTCGTTTTACTTTTTTAAAAGCCTGTTTGCCTAAATTGTGGCCCATTGTAATGTTACGCTTGATCAAAGTGGCCCGCGAAACAATTTGTGTTGGCCAGGCCTGACTTAAATAATAATTCTAAATCATTTCGGCCTAGGACAAACTAGTTAAGCCTAAAGTATTTAGGCTAAACTAGTATATCCTGACACGTGTAGGATAAATTAGTTTGACCGGTAACATATATATATATATATATAGAATTCATATTTTATATTTCTTTAACTCCATTATACAGCTTATATGGATAGCTTATCTTTCCTTAAATTAATGAATGAATGTTGGCAAGCCCACTGTCAACAAATGGTAAGTTCTCATTTAGCTATTTTGAAATTTTAAATTTATTTTAAGATTGTTTTTGAAAACTATAAATACATCACAAATAAATTATAAAATCTTTTGACTAAAAATTAATAAAATAAATTGTAATAATCCAACATTTACAACAAATTAAAATTTTAAATATAGTGCAACTTTAACATTTTAACTATATTAATAATTATAAAACAAAATTGTTGAAATTTGTTTTTACAACTTTTATTGATTACTTTATAGATAATAACCCATGGTATTAGCAGTGTGAATCAAAATTCCATACAGAGTTTAATTAATCATTTTTTCATACTGTTTTATTTGAACTTGAATTGTTAAAATCTCATCAGAGCTTATAGGAGCTTATGATTTTTCATTTTAAAATAAATTCAAATTAAAATTAGACTGCTAAAAATTTGTATATGTGTGTGGTTATTATAAATTTAAGAGATGTGATTAATTTTAGTAATGATATTTAATAAAATATGATTTAAAAAATGTATTTTGAAGAAAAATTGCTTTTAATTAATGATTTGTTAATAATATCTCACGAATAAATTTATTAAAAATGTATAAAAGTGCATATGAATAAGATTGATTTGACACTGACCAATCTGATTTCTCTCCTCTAAACTTGTTCACGTATTATTTATCATATTCATACAATTATATTGAAAGTTTTCTATTGTCTAAATTGATATTATTGTTTAGTGTTGGAGTAAAGAATAAACATCAAATTTTTTCAGACTGGATAAAAATATAATCAAAACTTATAAATTTATAAAACCAAATACAGTAGAACCTCCATTATCCGGATTTTCGATTATCTGGATTGTTCAAAATAAACAAAAATTTTACGAATTTGCTGATTTGCACTTGGCGAATTACGACACTGTTTATGTACGTGATGGAATGCATAACTTTTTTTGTTTCAACAACGTCTCACCCAGCACAGTGGTCGTAAACTCTTAAATATATTTTACGTAGTAATAAAAATATAACTTGACATACGTATTTATAAATAATTTATATTCAAATTACATCATTTCTATGACCAAGGGCGGCGTAAGGCATGGACGACGTGGGCCACCGCCTATGCCTCGCGGTCCGAAGGGCCTCGCGCCTCGAAGGTTTATGCATTACTTAAAAGCCGCGAACGCGACGAAAAAATTTTACTCGTCATAAAACGATAAATAGTTTGTCAAATTTTTATTCATAAAAATGCAGTTTCAACTGCTTTTTATTTTATAAAATCCGTCTTCTTGCGCCACCAGAGGGCCTTTTAAACAATAGGTAGTCTGTTAGCGTTGGTCAGTAGTAGTCCAAATTCAATACGAACGTTTGTTTCTTGAAAATTTGATCACGATTTAAATACAGTATTTACTTTTAATATTACCGATATGTCATCGAAAAGAAAACGTGTTGTATTATCATTAAAAGACAAATTAAAGTTTTTGTTTCGATTATCCGGATTTTTCCTTATCCGTACTACCTTCATCCTCAATTAGTCCGGATAATCGAGGTTCTACTGTATATAGTTGTTGTATTTATTTATTCACTTAAATATTTTTGAATGCTTTTCAGATGAGGACAATATCTTTCAGTATCTTCATGTATGTGTGGCTGATAAAAGTTCTGACAATTGAATTATCTTCAGATTTACTAGATACAGTAAATTCCTTCAGTTTAGATAGCTAATCATGATTTCATTTCCAGAAAGAGTCAAAAAACTTTGCAAATTGATTATTATAGTTATCCAATGACTCTTTAGACCAGTGATTTTCAAGTGGCATATTGGGTGTTCTGCAGATATTATGAAATATATTTTTAAAATGAGAAGCCCATTAGTATAAAAATTTATTACATCCATGATCAACTAATAGCTAGACTAGCCCCTAGAATAACAGTTAGTTATTTTATATATTTATTTTTTAAACTCTTTCTGCATTGAGGGCACTAAGATCTTTTTAGCAAATGTGTTGTAGTTTCAGGCAGGACCACAATAGTGTGGCCATTGGGAGGGACAGAACTTTGCCTATTCATGTAGACCTTTCCCAAAAAAATTTCAGAGGTTTTTTGACCTATGCAGATTGGATTCCAGGTCCCATAGCAGTAGACTGCCACCTTAATCATTTGGGTATCTGGCTGAGTAACAATTATTATTATACACAGCTATTCTTGATTTTAAATACATCAATTTATTTTTAATTTGTATACAAACTGTACTGGAAATGACATCACATTTTTCTGGCTTAACATGAGAACATAGATATTGTATTTAATATTTTTGGCTTATCTTGAGTTTTTTTTTTAAAGCCAATGCCATGAATTTCTATTTATTTAACTAAATAAAATAAAAGTATCTAAAAGGAAGGTAGTTGTTAAAATCGAAATATGTTTTTCAAAACTTCTTTACCAACTGTTAATCTGAGGTAAAATTATTTTTAAAAAGATATAAAAGAATAACCAAATAAAAACTAATTTACTTCTCTTCAATGTCTTTATTGTGATTAATAAATTTTAATTCAACAATCCTCATCTGTATCACATGTTACATTTTTTGACAGCCAAGATCTCTAACCTCCTGACAATTTTTTTCAATGCCATCTAAGTATAAATTTACTGAAGAATAAAATGTGTTTACTATAATGGTTATAACAGGAGAAAGAATGCAAAATTAAAAACTTTTATTGCTGTTTAAAAACTCAGATATCTAAATCTTTACTCAATCTCTAGAAAACCTTTTTCCCGGTGCTTTAACCAATCAATGCAAATTCTATTAAACCAATTGACAAATAGTCATTTTGGATCTCTTCCCTAAATTTTTGATTTGCTACAAGTGAAACTGAGGGACAGATGTCTAAAGTAAGTTGCTTTACCTTTTATGCTTCATTCACGTCCATCTTCATAACCCAAAAAATTTAAAATTTGAGATTTATGCATCACTAGTCTTTCTCTTTTGATTCTGCTTGATCTCCAAATATGTAGAAATTATTTGACTGCAAAATCATCTAAAAGTATATTAAAATCCAACTTAATCAAATAAATAACATTTAGATTCAGATATGTTTTTTGATGTTTTATAGAGAGTTGCTATCCTCTTATTCAAGTAACTTAAACCTCACAGTTCCACATATGTATATATTGTATATATGTCCTTATATCATTATCAGACATATAAGCAATTCATCCTGACAATTCAAATAATTAACTGCTTGTTCTAAGTAATTACAAATCTTTATAAACCTGTGAACAGAATTCAAATTAATTTTTATGTTCTGTTCAATATATTTTCCCTCTATCTGTGGCATTATTTGTATTTAAACAACTTTGAATATTTGTAAATATTTTTGAAGGCTTTAATGAAGAAAGTCATTTTATATTTGTTTCAAAGTTAGTTATATGCATTAGGAACTTATGAAGCTGGTGACTTACTGTTAAGCAAAAATGATACACAATATACAGTGGGTGATCGGTTAATGAACATAATCCGTTCCAAGACTTTTTTCACTATCCAATTATCAATTTACCATAGGTTTTTATGGGAATTTGATTAATTCATTCTGGAGACTTCAAAAAATAAAAAAATATATTCTTATAATTTCTTACTATGTTTATTTATATGTAATAATAAAAATACATATATACACAGTCTTGCATTTTTATTAGTCATGTTTTTTTGTTTGTGGGGATTAAATAATCTGTCCATTGTCGATTGCTTTTCTCTTTTCTTCAGGACTTTTTGGAACTAATTAATAGCATTGTAATTGTAGAGATCTCTTAGACTATTAACCTCAACCTGGTTTGAATGCCATTCTCAGACCATTGTTCTGACATCCTTCCACTTCTTCAAAAAAATGTTTAATAGCAGATATCGACATTAATTCTCTTTTTCAGAAGAAAACATATCTCATCGAGTTTCTTGGTGTTCTTCATTCAAGTGTTCTTGGCGTTCTTCTGTTAGATCAGTTTCAGGTTCCATTATGAGTTCTTCAATGTTCTTTATTTCTCAAATGTGATTTTTGTTACTCCTTTAGCTGCTTGAGTCTTGATTATACTATATCTTTCTTAGATAAGATTGAACTGTGGCCTACTGTAGATCTATATTCAAGCCATACTGCCCAGCAACAATTGCCTTCTACCTTTGCTATTAAACTCTCACCTTTCAAAAATAAAAACTGACACAAAACTTAACGAGTGCCCACCCGACAGTCTCGCAAATACTAGAAAAAAATTTTTTCTGTTAGAAAAATAAAAGGCTGAAATTACAAGGAAGAGTTTCAAAGTTTGGAGAAATACATCTGAACAGTGTATACTGGGTTGAGCGTCAATGTTGATGTCTCCTGCGCTTCAAAATGTTTTGAATTGTTGTCCAAAGATAAGGGAAGACCAATCGGTATTCATTATTTTACATCACTTCTTGTGTTTGTTCTGTGAGGTGTTCATTGTCTGAACATAAAAATTATTCATGAAAGTGTTCAATATCCAATTTGTTCGTTAACCGATCACCCATTGTATTGATTTACATAATCTTAAATATGGTTTCTTGACTTGTTTTTAATCAGCATTATGTTCATAAAATGGAAGGTATGTAAGGTTTGTTTAATAATGCAATTGATTCTGATTTTATTTTCATGGAGTAATATTGTGAAAGCATATAAAGTGTAATGGCAAATTAATTTTTAGAAAGTAAAAATATTCAGAAAATGGAATAGTCATGAACCCTCTTGATCTAAACTTTAGAATTAACTGCAGATATCACTTCTAGCAACTGCTTGATCAATCAATTGAATTATTTTAATAATGAGTCATTATAGTCTGTATTTCTATAAGATTGAACATACATTTCTTTAATTTTTATAAATATAAATGGTTCTTGTTTTATTGTGTCATATTATAAATAATCTTCATGTAAAATTTTACTTAATTTGTATGTTTTTTGAAATATTCTGAAATTTAGAATTGGCTATTAATTTTTGACAAGCAATGTATATTAAAATAAAGACATATATACAGTACAAATTGCATATTTTAGTTTGTACTGTTGAACAAGTTTTAAAATAGAGGAGAAAAATTATAACTTTTCCCATTTATATGAATATGAAATTATAATAAATTGAATTTCTCCAAATTTCTACTATGGTAAAAGAAATTGTGATATGAAAGAGATTAAAGAATGTTAATAATTACAATGTATATGTATATAATTCGTCTCTGTAATCCAAAAGTTTTTTGGTAGACGGACTCACAGCACTTTTAGTTAGGAACTCACTTTTATTCTTTAAAAAATGACATATGCATTTCGGGTTAGTATACTCATCTAACCCCTCTTCAGTGCTACTTTTTCAAAAAACAATAAAAAGTTACAGTAACCTATATATGACATAAATACATTACAGAATATCACTACTTACTTACTTTTAAAGTAAAAGTTGTGTATGGGCTACCACTACATCTAAACACCAACTATTTGTTTTCCATTTAAAATGCACTTGAAGTGTTTGCATAATATCTCTTCTAAAAACCATTATACATAATGACTTTACTTTAAACTTAACATGTATATACAATAACCAAACAGATACAGAATTAATAGTTACAATTTCATAAACTTTTAACATTTTAAGTGAATGAAATTCACTTAAATGTTGAAATATAAGTGTAACAAACTAGCAACTATTGAAGATATAAATTCAAACTTTGTATTTGTAATTGTTCAAATTGTGAAATGTATTGCCCTTTCTCCCATTAATTATAATCAATGTTAAATGTTTTTTATATTGGAATTTTTGAAAATATTAAAAAGTTTAGGGTTTCTATTGAATTTAGATTGGTTATTATATATGCTAATACATTGTTGATAAAAAAAAATTTAATAGAAATCTACAAATCTTGACTTTTCTGAATTATAAATTTAATGATTTGAATTATTACAAAATTAAAATATCTACATTTAGTATCAAATTTATTAATTAATAAATAGTAATTATAATAGTATTGTAAATTAACATAACATAACCCCAAAAAAATCTGAATTTGGTTGTTATTTAATTATAATTTTTTTTTATTAGTCTAATCTTTACTGTTATGCAGTTTTAAAATGATCAACCGGGAATAATGTTATTTTAATTCAGTTTAATAAATCATAAATGTATTATATGTAATGTATTGTTTTATAAAATGTTTTTATTTTCAGATTATGATTAGGAGTATTTTCCTTTTTCTTGATAGGACATACGTTTTGCAAAATGCTAGTATAGTATCTGTCTGGTAAGTTCAATTTTATGTTTAATGAAAGTAAATTCAAATTATAATTTATTATTTTCATAGATAAGTAAATGTGTATGTATATATCAATTAAATTTGTAAATTTATGTTTATAGGGATATGGGATTAGACATGTTCAGAATACACATCATAAGCAATCCTTTAGTACAGTCAAGGACAGTTGATGGGCTTTTAATGTTAATTGAAAAAGAAAGAAATGGGGAAACAGTGGATAGGGGACTGTTAAAAAATCTTTTAAGAATGTTGTCTGATTTACAGGTAAGAGAGACTTCAAAAAATAAAAAAATATATTCATATACTTTCTTACTATGTTTATTTATATGTAATAATAAAAATACATATATATACAGTCTTGCATTTTTATTACTCATGTTTTTTCCGTTTGTAGGGGTTAAAGAATCTGTCCATTGTCGATTGCTTTTCTCTTTTCTTCAGGATTTTNGGGCTTTTAATGTTAATTGAAAAAGAAAGAAATGGGGAAACAGTGGATAGGGGACTGTTAAAAAATCTTTTAAGAATGTTGTCTGATTTACAGGTAAGATGTTTTAAAATAATTATGTATTATTTTAAAAATTTGTATTAAAAAAATAAGTAAAAAATTGATCAGTGTCTACTTTTAAATGCTGAACTATACATACAATCTAAAATGAAATTATCTTTTTGAAATATGTCTTTGAAAGGAACAGACAGTAGATATATTATATTTTTTATTTACTGGTTGTTACATCATTCAGATAACATATTTTATCTATTAATAGTTTACAGTAGTCTGAGAATTTGCCAAAATATATTTCAGTATTTATGCATTCAGTCATATTATTTAAATATAGAAATAAACTGCCAAATTATCAAGTTACATAATTTATCAATAATTTTAATGATTAGATTATTTGAAAATATTTAGAAAAAGCTCAGAATAAGATCTGAATTTGCATCTCTTCTACACTGATTTAGAAGGCATACATGCTTTTTGAAACTACAGGTTTTTCACAAATATGTGTTTATATAATTTTGATAACATATAACTGTAAAGTAGACCCTCATTTTATTTTTTGTTTGGGTATATCATGTTGGAAAATGAAAAAAGAACACCATGAGGCCATTGTCCCATGAAATGGAAATTTTATTTACACACACTATAGGTAGCATACTGTGTATCATTGGTGTCAAACATATAGCCTGAGATCATAGGTGGTCCTGGAGACTGTAATGTGGCCCTTGGCCCTAAGCTTGAATGTGATGTTATTTAAATAATAAAATGGAATTTTTAAAATACAAAATAATTTTTTAATTTATTGCAAATTAATTTTCAAGTCTGTAACTAAGTTTTATTGTACCATATAAATTTTTCCTTTTGTGAGTTCTTGTCTCAAGAACAAAGGTTTACTTTATTATACAGAAGTGTTTTGACTCTCCTGTCAAAGTTTTAAAATGCTTTTGGGAACTTTGCAATGAAATCAAAATGTTTTTAGAAATGAAGAGAGTCAGAACAACAACTTGACCATAAAAACTGGTTGCAAGATTTGGCTTTCATTACAGATATTATGTTACATTTAAATGAATTAAATTTAAAACTTCAGGATTGAAATTTACTTACCACACTTCTGTGAGACCTGCATTAAAGCATTTCAGTTAAAACTTGAAATTTCAAAAAAAAAAAAAAAAATGCAAAATTGTGATTTAGTTCATTTTCCTACTTGTAAAAATTATAAAGAATTATATTATAGTTGTGATTTTAGGAAAAGTGCTAAGAACATTCAAAACTTATTACTTGAATTTGAAAACCAATTTCAAAGATTCAAGGCATGTGGGAATGATTTCTTACAATTTAGTGCTTCCTTTTCTTTTAATACTGAAAAAAGCAAAAAGAAACATTGAAATGAAATTGTTTGAAATCCAGAGCAACACTGTACTAAAAGGAAAGTATAATTAAGTTGGTATTCCAGACTTATCTGTACTTGCTATAACATTTTATTGAAATGCATATATTCATTTCAAGAATATTGGCAATGTTTGGTAATACCTATGTGAACAATTATTTTTCATTTTAAAGACTAATAGTTTACAGTTGGCAAGATTAACAAGTGCGCATTTAAATCTATTTTAAAAACATTATCATCACAAAAATTTACACCTGTTATTGATAAATTTGTTTCTGCCAGAAGATGCCAAATTTTTAGAAAAAATATTAATTTTTTTAAATTTCTCTAATTTAAAATTTTTTTGTAACATTTGATGATATGTTGAAATAAAAAAATATATATATATATTTTATTTCAACATATATATATATATGTGTGTTACTCATTTAAATTAAATCATTAAATCATCATATATAATATTAATTTTTGTAAATTCATTAAAGAAGAAATAAATGTAAAATTTAAATGAGTTATTTTCAAATGTACATAAAAGACCTTTTTGTCTATGGCCCACAGACACTCTAAAACTATTTAGTGGCCCATGATCTTATGATTGTGACTCCAACTGCTGTACATAATTATTCAAATAAGGCCATACACATGTGTATAGAGCAAGGCATGTTGAAAGAATGTTTCAGTACTTTGTGTACTCTCCTCTAGAAGCAATGTAGGCTGCAATTCTCACATAGAAATGATCATAAACATGATGAATATCATTTTGCAGAATGGAGGGTCATGCATATTCAATCTGGTGGTGCATTTCAGCAAGAGTCAAAGACTGGGCCAAATGATGTCAATCCAATCTCACAAATTCTTAATGGGGGACAAGTCTGGTGATCATGCTGACCAGAGAATTTGATAAACACCTTGGAGAGTGCATTGTGTTGCATGAGCATTGTCCTGTTGAATAGCACATCTCCCTGTTGTTGCATGAATGGCAGCAACAACAGGGTTGTATAACCCTGTTGTTGCTGCCATTGATGATCTCTATTGTTGCTGCCATTGATGAAACCATGTATGATGATCTGGATGTATCATGCACTGGTCAATGTTCCCTGTGCAAACACCAGAGGTAAATTGATATTATAGGCTATGGTTTCCCACACCATGATTTCAGGTGTTGGTCCTGTATATTACTTCTATAAACACTGTGGAATATGTCATTCACCTGGTCAATGCTGCATGTGCAAATGATTGTCATTAGCACCAAGGCAGAATGTGCTTTTTGCTATTCTTTCCTTCAGGCACTGCTTTCTCAACAGCACTGGAAAAGGGCTGTACAGTGGTGGGGTATGAGTAGAAGTCTGGCTAGCGGCACCTTTGATCCCACTTTCAGTCAAGTAGATGGTTGTGGATGATCCTAGCTGATATCTCTGGTGGGACATTACCTCTAATCTATTCTGAGGTTGCAGTGTGGTCTGCTGTGACCACTCATAAAATGCGATGTTGTTATGCATCTATATATCACTGCTTTCCAGAACCAGGTTGGCAAATGTGTGCACCTTCCTCTACCCAATGACCCCAACATCAAAGCACTGCTGACGCTTCTTATCCATTGTGTCGCACAATTTGGTATGACCTTGCAGCCTCACTGCAGCTCTACATTTTGTCATCTTGTAGAAATGTCTGAACCTGCACTCTGTTGTCCTACTGTTTTTTGGTATGTATATAATTTAAACTGACTGTATAACATTAGTTCATAACTGTTAACCAATATTTCGGCTAACTCATAACTATTTTTGTATCAGCACCCTGTTTGTCACATTACCATGCAACGTTAGGAAGAAATATTACTCCTGTCTACATTGATAATGCTTACTGCTTATACAGTCATGGCAATGTTTTCATCTTTATATTGTATAGCTTTAGGCATAGTTTTAAGTTTAATTTTAAATTTAATTTTTTCACCTTGTATAACTTTTAAGTATACTAAGATCTCTCATTAATACCAACTGATGAGGGACTATTTTTCTATTGGAAAATAGTCCGAAATGCATTTTGGATTTTTACGGTTTTTATACTTATGTAATCATCTTATTGTACACTCCTTTTTGTTTTATTAAATGTTTTTACTTTGATTCTTGAGCATTTGTGCCCATTATTATTGGTGTGATAAGCCATTACTATTATCTACCTTACAGTTATAGATATTTTAATTAATTTAAGTAGTAATATATGATCTGACGACAGAAGAACACCAAGAACTCTTGAATGAAGAACACCAAGAAACTCAGCGAGATATGTTTTATTATGAAAAAGAGGATTGATGCCGATATCTGCTATTAATTAAAGATGTTTTGAAGTGGGGGATGTCAAATCAACGGTCTTAGAATGGCATACAAACCAGGTTGAGGTTATAGACTTGGGGATCTCTACAATTACAATGCTATTAATTACTTATGAATATCCTGAAGAAGAGAGAAAAGCAATTGACTTTAGACAGATTCTTTAACCCCATAAACAAAATAACATAACTAATAAAAATGCAAGACTGTGTATATATATTATTATTATTATTACATATAAGTGAACGTAGTAAGAAAGTATATATTTTTTATTTTTTGGGGTCTCCAGAACGAATTAATCAAATTCCCAGACAAACATATGGTAAATTGATAATCGGTTAATGAACAATTTGGATAGCGAACAAAGTCTTGGAACGGATTATGTTTGTTAACCTATTACTACAGTGACCATACGTCCTTTATTTAAGAGGATAGTCCTTTATTTCACTGCTCTGTCCTTTAACTTTATTTATTTTCTAAAATAGGCATTTTGTCCTTTATTTTGTAAAGTTGACACAAAGTTTAAAAAATTTTTTTTAATAATATATTGAACAAGTTAGTCACGACCAGTGTTGCATTGTTACATAGAGTGCAGTAGTGCAGTGTATCGCCAACCAAACGGCCCACTGACAGTACCAAGGGGTGGACACTCTTATGGGGATTTTTGTGATAGTTTTTTAACTCTCTAGTTGGTGCATGATACACTTGTTAATTAAAGCTGAAGTTATTTGAAAGAAAAAATGAGGGGTTTCTTCCTATTGTTATTAGAAAAGTGGTTTTAGCATTAGAAAAATCAGAAAATATACAAGCCAAAAAATGCAATGATGCTGTGTACACATTTTATCAAACGTGCATAGATTATCTAAATAATTGGGACATGTTTTTTATTGAAATAGAGATGTTTGAATGGGTCACATTATGCGAAGTCCCTTTGTGGGCGAAAGTAGAGGAAAGCTATATCTTTATTTTGAATCATTGGTCCGTAAATATACTCGATGGTGAATTATTTGATGAAGTTTCATGTGTAAAAAAATATGTCACAAACGAAAAGATCGACGAATGGTGACAGAATAACCAGCCCTGCCATCAAAGGTGGATTGAGATTTTTGAACATTTTACAGCAAAAGAAATTGTTTTCAAAAACATTTGTAAAATCGTAGAATTTTCTTTGTCTCCCTGGATCTAATGCCCCCGTTGAACGAATATTTTCATTGGTGAATAATATGTGGACGAATGAAAAAACTGATTTAAAAGTAAGCACATTAGAAGCATGTATTTCCATCAAATACAACTTTCAAATGAACTGTATGGAATTTTATGACTTTAAAGCGTGAAACGGCGCTATAAAAAAATTAAATCTACTGAAAAGTATCAAAATTAATGTTGTTTAAATTTTTACAATGTGTGTATGTGTAATAATTCAGATTGTTTGAAATTTTAATGTATGCATTGTTGTATGCTACTATTTTCGTAATAAATGTTATAAACTTATGAATTTTATAAGGTATTTTTTTATTTTCATCGATATGTCCTTTATTTTACCCAAAAAAATATGGTCACTGTACCTATCACCCACTGTATTATGAATTTTTTAAATTTATGAATATGATACCATCTGTATTTAAGATGTATAATGTTTTTAATTTAGACTCATATTTGAATATATGTCTAATTTTTGATAGGTATTGGTATGAATTAAAATATGATTTTTGATTTACAGATATATCAAGAAGCTTTTGAAATACGCTTTCTCCAGTCTACAGAAGAATTGTATGCAGCTGAAGGACAAAGATTGATGCAATCTTTTGAAGTACCTGCTTATTTAAAGCATGTTGATAGAAGATTAAATGAAGAATGGGAGAGACTTTTATATTATTTAGATCATTCTACAAAGTTAGTATTTTATTTTTTAAATGTAATTTACCCTAATAAAAATTTTTATTTTGAATATGATCATTGAAAAATATTTTATATTTAAATAGGAAATCTCTCATTCAATGTGTAGAAAAACAACTCTTAGGGGAGCATCTTCTTACTATTCTCCAAAAAGGTTTAGATAAATTGTTACATGAAAATAGGATTCCAAATTTAACTTTAATGTACAGTTTATTTTCTCGTGTGAGAGAAGGTCTTCAGGAATTATGTATGCATTTTAATTTATATATAAAGGTTAGTATAATATATTACTTTAAGATCTTAACAAAGATTATAATATATTAAAAAAATTTTTCAAATTTCTTAAAACTACAAATTTTAGTAATGTAAGGAACATGTAAAAAGCAAATTTTTACAAATAATTTTTTTCTCTGTTTTAATTCTTTAAAGACTTTATAAAATATCATTATAAAAACTAATTAAATTAGTTAACATTATTTTGGTGAAATTTGATTTTAAACTATTAATCAATTTGAAATTACAATACTTATTGATTATTTTTTAGGGTATAGGACTAAAAAAATTATTCAGTTATTTAAATTCTGAAAACTTAATGTTAATCTCAAAGATATCATTGTTACCTGATAGTTTTAAAAAATCATTAATATCATTGTTAAAAATGACAATTTTTTGAATTTGGAAAACAAATTTAAAAATTTTTTCTACAATTTCTATGAGAATATATGAAAACATATAGCTTCTCATAATTATTTATATTAATACTAGCTGTTACCCGTGGCTTTGCTCGTGGGTAACAGCTAGTATTGCAAGCAAACCCTATTTACATTCAATCTTTCAACAACCATAGTAATTGTTATTTAACACCTACTGCTGAAAATGATGAGAATTGCTATATATATATAGATTATTAAAAGATTTTCATTTAACATAAGATGTTTTTCAAACTCATATAATCCTAGAACTTAATTTCCCATCCTTGAACATAAATTACATTTTATTGATTGCATAACTCAATGTGAATACCATGTATAATTTAAAAAGAATAATATTTAATTATGCATAGAGATTTTCATATTATTTTTATGACATACTTAATTCACAAACTATTTTATTTCATCAATTAATTATCTGACAAAATGTTAGAAAAAATTATGTATTTTAATAAACTTTAGATTTTATCAAGAATATGTTCATCTTAATCAATATAGGAAAAAAACAATCTTTATTCATTGATTGTTTTCAGAATTTTTAGGTTTCATCATCAGAAGACTAATTTTGAATAGTTTTGGAGTTTGATTTATATGCAGTCCTGTTTTTTAAAATATTGGCATAAAATTATTTTTGGTATTTATTGAAAAATCTTGAAAGAATTATTCACTGTTTTTTGATGAAATTTTATTAATGTGGAATTATTAGTAAAATTTTATTGTACATTCAGGTATGGATTCATCTCTTATAAAGTACAAAATTATAAATTTTTCTACATTAGTAATGAATTTCCATCTCAATCATTATGTTTCTTATTAATTATACAGTGGAACCTCTCTTAACAACCACCTCACATAACAATTGATTCACACAATTGATTCACATAATTTCCTCTCTCCTTGTCACTTAATGAGTGACAAGGAGAGAGGAAATCAAGGATTGTGTCCATGCTCCATCAGTCTGTATTTAGTACTCATTCCACTAGCATCTTAGTGTTGCTTGTGATCACACATTTTCTCAAACTTCTGTTTACACATATTACGTATAAACATCAATAACCATAGCCCAATATGTAATAAACATGCCAAACGATATGCCAGATTCTTGGGCTATGTAAAGCAGGGCTGTGGCGTTGGAGTCAGAGTTGTGGAGTTTTGATGATTTAGTCAGAGTTGTCAAAAAATCTGCTGACTCTGACTCCTTTTTACTTTCCAACTTGTTATGTATATAAAATAGAAAAGTATTTGAATTATGTCAAATTTGATCCTCCAAGTTTTTTTTTTTTTTTTTTTTTGCAAATCTACACATTTGGAGACCTCCCACACCCCAAAAAAAGTCAATAAAAGGGAAAAATTTGTGTGCGCGTGTGTGTATTGGCGTCTAATTTGTTTAATTTCTTTATTTTCTGTTCTGAGATATTAAACAATAAATATATCAGAATGAGTAAAGTTTAAGAAACAAAATTTGGCACTGTAGCTTGTGTATAAAGGGGCATTAATACTATTAAACTTTGGTTCTTAATTAAAAGTCAACAGGGTGAAGACATAAAAGGGGTCATGTGTCATATCTCAATGAATATTTTACTCGTTATTAGCGTTCAAAATAAAAAATAAATAAATAAATAAAACTCTTCTCTACCCTGAAAGTAAGCTTTTTGTCGTTTTATAATAGTACAGTGAAACCCGTTAAGATTTCTCGCCTAAGATGTTAGAATGTGTATGGAACAGGATTTAGTTTAACCATTTTGACACTTAATAACTAACTTCTGTGTTAAACCATCTGACTCTGACTCTGATTTAAAAAACCACAGAAATTATTAGGCTTCAAACAGAGTGAACTAAATCATGCCCCCCACCCCACCACAGTCCACACATATAGAAAAAAATATTGAATCTTTTGCATATCTCGAAATTTAAAGGTGTCCTGAGTCCAAAAATGTAAAAATTTGGGAGGAGTCATTTTCACTGAGTGCTACACTTTCCCTCTGTTATATATAACAGCCAGAAAGGTAAAAATTATTGAATACATATTTATATATTGACTGTGTCATTACTTAGAGGAGTCTTTTAGCTTTGGAATCAAAAGTTTCTACGTTCTATCTTTATTAGAAGTCTATTTATTGAATCTTTTATTCTGAGGTCATGTGATGACATCAGAATTTCCGGGTCTCTTTTGGTAACAAATCCGCCCCTGGTTGGAGTTGGAGTTGGTAGATTTTTACGCGACTCCATAGCCCTGATTTAAAGGCTATAATTAAATATTAGAAATTGAGTAATTTGACTAGAGGTTGGCAGTTATGCTGCCATCTCATATTAAATTTAATAACCAATTTCAAATTAAATTTTAGAATTGTCTAAATTAAAAATTAATTATTTATAATTATTAAATTTAATACAAGATGGTAGCATAACTGCCTACCTCTAGTCAAATTAATCAATTTCTAATATTGAATTATAGCCTTTACATAGCCCAAGAATTTGGCATATTGCTTGGTGTGTTTATCAGACATCAGATGATTCATGCTCCTTAACAATATATGTCTATTGTTAAGGAGCATGAATTATCTTAATATTTTCTTCTAGCACAGAATATTGTATAATTTTCTTTGAATAAATGTTATACATAAAATATTTGAGTATTTTATTTTATTTTATTTTTTTTCGGAACACATCATCGTATTTTACATTAACGTATATAAAAAAAATTGTTTCACTTAATGAGTGTTTCGCATTACAAGATTCTGGTACAAATTATGCTTGTTAAGTGAGGTTCCACTGTATAGAAGTAGCAGAAATAAAACTAAGAAATTTTGCCACCACTCAATATCAGTGGCTAATGTAGTCAATCTTAGTTGCTATTAATTAGATAAACTTGATATTTGGTGTATGTTTTCTTTTTTACTTGTAAGAAATATACATCTTAACTTTGTATAGAAAGTAGTATATCAAATGGTTAATAATAATTATTATTATTATTATTATTCAGTTATGTAGTATTTATATTTCCATAAAAATAACNTCACATTTTTTTTTTTTTTTTTTTTTGCAAATTACACATTTGGAGACCTCCCACACCCCAAAAAAAGTCAATAAAAGGGAAAAATTTGTGTGCGCGTGTGTGTATTGGCGTCTAATTTGTTTAATTTCTTTATTTTCTGTTCTGAGATATTAAACAATAAATATATCAGAATGAGTAAAGTTTAAGAAACAAAATTTGGCACTGTAGCTTGTGTATAAAGGGGCATTAATACTATTAAACTTTGGTTCTTAATTAAAAGTCAACAGGGTGAAGACATAAAAGGGGTCATGTGTCATATCTCAATGAATATTTTACTCGTTATTAGCGTTCAAAATAAAAAATAAATAAATAAATAAAACTCTTCTCTACCCTGAAAGTAAGCTTTTTGTCGTTTTATAATAGTACAGTGAAACCCGTTAAGATTTCTCGCCTAAGATGTTAGAATGTGTATGGAACAGGATTTAGTTTAACCATTTTGACACTTAATAACTAACTTCTGTGTTAAACCATCTGACTCTGACTCTGATTTAAAAAACCACAGAAATTATTAGGCTTCAAACAGAGTGAACTAAATCATGCCCCCCACCCCACCACAGTCCACACATATAGAAAAAAATATTGAATCTTTTGCATATCTCGAAATTTAAAGGTGTCCTGAGTCCAAAAATGTAAAAATTTGGGAGGAGTCATTTTCACTGAGTGCTACACTTTCCCTCTGTTATATATAACAGCCAGAAAGGTAAAAATTATTGAATACATATTTATATATTGACTGTGTCATTACTTAGAGGAGTCTTTTAGCTTTGGAATCAAAAGTTTCTACGTTCTATCTTTATTAGAAGTCTATTTATTGAATCTTTTATTCTGAGGTCATGTGATGACATCAGAATTTCCGGGTCTCTTTTGGTAACAAATCCGCCCCTGGTTGGAGTTGGAGTTGGTAGATTTTTACGCGACTCCATAGCCCTGATTTAAAGGCTATAATTAAATATTAGAAATTGAGTAATTTGACTAGAGGTTGGCAGTTATGCTGCCATCTCATATTAAATTTAATAACCAATTTCAAATTAAATTTTAGAATTGTCTAAATTAAAAATTAATTATTTATAATTATTAAATTTAATACAAGATGGTAGCATAACTGCCTACCTCTAGTCAAATTAATCAATTTCTAATATTGAATTATAGCCTTTACATAGCCCAAGAATTTGGCATATTGCTTGGTGTGTTTATCAGACATCAGATGATTCATGCTCCTTAACAATATATGTCTATTGTTAAGGAGCATGAATTATCTTAATATTTTCTTCTAGCACAGAATATTGTATAATTTTCTTTGAATAAATGTTATACATAAAATATTTGAGTATTTTATTTTATTTTATTTTTTTTCGGAACACATCATCGTATTTTACATTAACGTATATAAAAAAAATTGTTTCACTTAATGAGTGTTTCGCATTACAAGATTCTGGTACAAATTATGCTTGTTAAGTGAGGTTCCACTGTATAGAAGTAGCAGAAATAAAACTAAGAAATTTTGCCACCACTCAATATCAGTGGCTAATGTAGTCAATCTTAGTTGCTATTAATTAGATAAACTTGATATTTGGTGTATGTTTTCTTTTTTACTTGTAAGAAATATACATCTTAACTTTGTATAGAAAGTAGTATATCAAATGGTTAATAATAATTATTATTATTATTATTATTCAGTTATGTAGTATTTATATTTCCATAAAAATAACATGTTAACTTTCAATATTTGTATGAAACAACCTAACAATTAACTTAAAAAATAAATTAAAATTATATAAGATATGATTGATTAATTTATAAAGAGTATGCTAATATTTAAACAATGTTGATTTTTTTTAATATTTAATAAAATTATTTTTATACTTTAGAAACATGGCAGAGTTATTGTTACAAATCCTGAAAAAGATAAAACTATGGTTCAGGAACTTTTAGATTTTAAAGATCAGATGGATACAATTGTTAATTACTGTTTTCAAAGGAATGAAAAATTTGTGAATTCATTAAAAGAAGCTTTTGAACATTTCATTAATCAAAGGCCAAATAAACCTGCTGAATTAATAGGTAAAATTTCAATTATTTCCTTAATATGACAAAAGTTTTGTTTTATTTACATTGAAATCTTTAAATTTTATTCATNAATGAAAAATTTGTGAATTCATTAAAAGAAGCTTTTGAACATTTCATTAATCAAAGGCCAAATAAACCTGCTGAATTAATAGGTAAAATTTCAATTATTTCCTTAATATGACAAAAGTTTTGTTTTATTTACATTGAAATCTTTAAATTTTATTCATTTATCTTATAACTTTCCAGTTTTTGGTTAATATTCTAATATATTTGCATTTTTTGATTTGCTAATTATGGTTTGTTAATATTAGAAAATGAAATGAGATAATTTTAATGATATTCATTTATTAAGCTCAAATAAACCTGCTGAATTAATAGGTAAAATTTCAATTATTTCCTTAATATGACAAAAGTTTTGTTTTATTTACATTGAAATCTTTAAATTTTATTCATTTATCTTATAACTTTCCAGTTTTTGGTTAATATTCTAATATATTTGCATTTTTTGATTTGCTAATTATGGTTTGTTAATATTAGAAAATGAAATGAGATAATTTTAATGATATTCATTTATTAAGCTTAAAATATATATAATAATTATCATTTTTATTTATGGTATTATTTTTAAAAAATATGCTATTTCAAAATAGAATATTTTCATAAATATAAAAAATTGTTTATAGGTTTTTCAGATTTTTAATATGATGATAAAAACTTAGTTTTATTTTTAGTCTATTTTTTACTATCTATTACATTAAATTCTATAATTTATAATTGATTAAATCAACTCCTAATTAATTGAAATATCTTCATAATATGTCATATTAAAGGTTAAAAAAAAAAGACAGTTTTAATGCAAATTTTTCTGTCCAAACAAACTTCTTTTGTATTTTACAGAAAATTTTAATTTCATATGTAAAGAGAAAAAAATTGTATTTATTTTAAAAATTAAATATTACATTTCTTTGTATATTTTATATATCAAGAAATTAAGATGATAACAAATGTGAGTATCCTTAATTGAAATTCATCTGTTGTCTCTGCATATGATTTTTCTATGAAATGTGGAACAAATACAGAGAAAGAAGAGAAAAATGTTTTCAGAAATATATATGATAGATAACATTGAATACAAATGTGTAACAAAAAAAATACTTTCAAGTGATCTTATCATTTTTAATTCCTATATTACACATTACTTTAAAGCAGGGGTGTCCAACCTGCGGGCCTCATGCGGCTCAATAAACTTGTAAACAAAACTGACAAAGTTTTTTATTTTATTTATTTATTTCAACGGCATAAATTCAAAAAAAGAAATTTCACAAAGCCGTAAACCTTTATACNTTTAAAGCAGGGGTGTCCAACCTGCGGGCCTCATGCGGCTCAATAAACTTGTAAACAAAACTGACAAAGTTTTTTATTTTATTTATTTATTTCAACGGCATAAATTCAAAAAAAGAAATTTCACAAAGCCGTAAACCTTTATACATATTTAATTTTTGAGTGGAAAGAAATATCTTCAAATACTTGGAAATGTGTGAATGAGGAAGGAATACTAAATAAAGCTAAAGTTGAGACTCAAAGAATTATAGATCCAAATTTGGGGAAAGAAGAGTAAGTCCAAAAGATAAAAAGTAGTGAGAAAGGTTACATAGACTTTCTGTTAAGCAAATATGGACCCATAATTTCCCAACCTTCCTCATTCTTTATCTTTTGTCCTTTTCTCCTTTCCCCACATATGAGTCTATAATCCTCTGAGTCCAATTCCGGCTTTATTTAGTATTCCTTCCAGTGTTGCATGATTTGGTTACTTTGCGCCAAATTTGGCTACCCTTTTTTTATTTTGGCGTAAAAAATATTATTTGGTGCATTGGCTACTTTTTGGGCTACATCTTATTTATAAATATATTAGTTGAATAAAAATGCACTTTAAAATAGTGTTTTGTCATTTTTTATTAATTAGAGACCCAAATAAAACAAATATTTGTTTTTCAAATAAATTTTTGTTTGTCTTTATAATAAATAAATTTATCTATTTCTAAGTAAAAATTGAAAGTGTCTGTAGAAGTAATTTTTTAAAATATCCTTTTTCGTGATAAAGATTTAATACTTATTACTATAATCTAGACATGTTAATCCTTAAATATACAAATATATTTAAGGATTGGGCCACAAGTATATTATATATACTTGTGGCCCAAAACTTCATGACATCTTTCAATGTGACCCAGAGAAACAAAAAGATTGGACACCCCTGCTTTAAAGAGTCATACTTATTGTTTGTAATTACAAAACTGGGTGTTAAAAATCCTTTGTTTAAAAAGAAAGAGCAAGAAATTAGGAGATTAGTCATATCTTAAATTATGTTAGTTGATGAATTTAACCATTATTATTATTATTATTTAAATTAAAAATAAAACTGAACAAAGTTTTAGTATAGTGTGAATTATAATGTATGATCAAGTGTATGTTTCTTTTGTTTGTCACGTACTTCTTATTATTTGATCTTTTATGTTTATTATAAAGATATCTGAAAAATATTTAAGTTACTTTTTCTTATTAATGGATGTGCTTAGGCATCAACTCTAAAGACATACATGCATGTTCATTTTTATAAGTCTATATATAATGATAAAAGTTATAACTTGGTGCTTATTTCCTTTACGAGATAATTAGATGTTATCATTGACAATTATATATTGCTTATTGTATTACTGGGATATTTTTTGATTTAATAAAATATATTTTACCTTTATAACAGTGCTGACTAGTGTTGATATATTAATACAAAAGTATTTAATAAGTATTTTAGTATAAAAATAAACTCAATTATTTTATATATTTTAAAAATGATGAAATACTTTCATGAAAAACTATGTAATACAGGTAACCCCCGTATAACATAGCACTTCTATAGCACAGATTCACTCTAACACAGTTTGAGAATTAGGAACATTCCCTGTATAACACGGTGCTTTTATAGCATGGGAATTGGGTAAAACCCTCGTACAACATAAAATGTAATAAAGGGTGTGTTCTTTTATACCTCTGCGTAACTCCGCATGAGCATTCTAATTGTTTTCATAGCTACTTTGAATGCTCTTTCAACATGCATTCAACTATAATCCATTTAATGATTAAATTTTACAATTGGGATCCTTTTTTTGCCTCTAAAAGCTCATTTTAGAATTATAGATTCCTTCACACAATACTATCAATAGTGCGGGCACCGCCATCTTTCTTTCACCATTGTTCCTAAATGGACAATGGTGAAAGAAAGATGTTGATGTTCCTACAAACAGCAGCGCACTCCCGTTGCAGAGCGACTGCTATTAACGAACGCACTCACAAACTGTTACCAGTTGATGATGCTCATGCTGAGATCATCATATAAAATGAATAATCCTCTGGTAAAATATTTACTTAAATAATAAATAAGTATTTTACCTATGAAAAAAATGAATAATAAATCCGATTTAAATAAGGATTTAACAACATGCTTTTTAATTTTTGGAACCTAACCCACCTTTTCGCACTAGTTCTTTGTTTCGTATAATACAGATTCGCATAACATGGCAATTTTTTGGAACGTAACTCCTGTGTTATATGGGGGTTACCTGTACATACATAAAAGTGGAGTATGAAAAATAATATCAAAAAGTATACAAATATTACAAATTTGTAAATTAAACAACTTATAGATTTTTAATATATTTATTACTTATTTATTAAGTATTGACATTTATTAAAATTAATATTATAATAATAATAAATTATAAGTTGTTTTAAAGAGTATTCTAAAATTCTTACTTTATTTTTCAGCTAAATTTGTTGACTCAAAATTAAGAACTGGAAATAAGGTTAGTAAATTGTTGTAAGAAATAAGACTAATAAGTATATAATTTGTTAGGTGTCAGTTGTTAAGAATAAAAGTTGACAAATGATATATGTTTGAATATTTAATTCAATTTATATATATAAATGAAATTAACATTTGTTTTTTAAAATATATATAGTTTTAAAAACAAATGTTGGTTTCATTTTTTAACAATTTTACTTAACTNAGACCCAAATAAAACAAATATTTGTGTTTTTCAAATAAATTTTCATTTGTCTCTTTTATAATAAATGAATTTATCTATTTCTAAGTAAAAATTGAAAGTGTCTGTAGAAGTAATTTTTTAAAATATCCTTTTTCGTGATAAAGATTTAATACTTATTACTATAATCTAGACATGTTAATCCTTAAATATACAAATATATTTAAGGATTGGGCCACAAGTATATTATATATACTTGTGGCCCAAAACTTCATGACATCTTTCAATGTGACCCAGAGAAACAAAAAGATTGGACACCCCTGCTTTAAAGAGTCATACTTATTGTTTGTAATTACAAAACTGGGTGTTAAAAATCCTTTGTTTAAAAAGAAAGAGCAAGAAATTAGGAGATTAGTCATATCTTAAATTATGTTAGTTGATGAATTTAACCATTATTATTATTATTATTTAAATTAAAAATAAAACTGAACAAAGTTTTAGTATAGTGTGAATTATAATGTATGATCAAGTGTATGTTTCTTTTGTTTGTCACGTACTTCTTATTATTTGATCTTTTATGTTTATTATAAAGATATCTGAAAAATATTTAAGTTACTTTTTCTTATTAATGGATGTGCTTAGGCATCAACTCTAAAGACATACATGCATGTTCATTTTTATAAGTCTATATATAATGATAAAAGTTATAACTTGGTGCTTATTTCCTTTACGAGATAATTAGATGTTATCATTGACAATTATATATTGCTTATTGTATTACTGGGATATTTTTTGATTTAATAAAATATATTTTACCTTTATAACAGTGCTGACTAGTGTTGATATATTAATACAAAAGTATTTAATAAGTATTTTAGTATAAAAATAAACTCAATTATTTTATATATTTTAAAAATGATGAAATACTTTCATGAAAAACTATGTAATACAGGTAACCCCCGTATAACATAGCACTTCTATAGCACAGATTCACTCTAACACAGTTTGAGAATTAGGAACATTCCCTGTATAACACGGTGCTTTTATAGCATGGGAATTGGGTAAAACCCTCGTACAACATAAAATGTAATAAAGGGTGTGTTCTTTTATACCTCTGCGTAACTCCGCATGAGCATTCTAATTGTTTTCATAGCTACTTTGAATGCTCTTTCAACATGCATTCAACTATAATCCATTTAATGATTAAATTTTACAATTGGGATCCTTTTTTTGCCTCTAAAAGCTCATTTTAGAATTATAGATTCCTTCACACAATACTATCAATAGTGCGGGCACCGCCATCTTTCTTTCACCATTGTTCCTAAATGGACAATGGTGAAAGAAAGATGTTGATGTTCCTACAAACAGCAGCGCACTCCCGTTGCAGAGCGACTGCTATTAACGAACGCACTCACAAACTGTTACCAGTTGATGATGCTCATGCTGAGATCATCATATAAAATGAATAATCCTCTGGTAAAATATTTACTTAAATAATAAATAAGTATTTTACCTATGAAAAAAATGAATAATAAATCCAATTTAAATAAGGGTTTAACAACATGCTTTTTAATTTTTGGAACCTAACCCACCTTTTCGCACTAGTTTTTTATTTCGTATAATACAGATTCGCATAACATGGCAATTTTTTGGAACGTAACTCCTGTGTTATATGGGGGTTACCTGTACATACATAAAAGTGGAGTATGAAAAATAATATCAAAAAGTATACAAATATTACAAATTTGTAAATTAAACAACTTATAGATTTTTAATATATTTATTACTTATTTATTAAGTATTGACATTTATTAAAATTAATATTATAATAATAATAAATTATAAGTTGTTTTAAAGAGTATTCTAAAATTCTTACTTTATTTTTCAGCTAAATTTGTTGACTCAAAATTAAGAACTGGAAATAAGGTTAGTAAATTGTTGTAAGAAATAAGACTAATAAGTATATAATTTGTTAGGTGTCAGTTGTTAAGAATAAAAGTTGACAAATGATATATGTTTGAATATTTAATTCAATTTATATATATAAATGAAATTAACATTTGTTTTTTAAAATATATATAGTTTTAAAAACAAATGTTGGTTTCATTTTTTAACAATTTTACTTAACTTCAATTATCATTAAAGTACAGTAGAGCGTCGATTATCCGAAAATCAACTATCCGAAACGTCAATTATCCAAAACAATTCCAGTCAACAAATTTAAATTTTCACTAGTGTTGTGGAGCTGCAATCTTTGGCTATATCTTGGGCTACTCAAATATTTTACATTTTTGATACTAAATTAACTTCTGAAGTATAATTTTTTATTGTTTTTATGTTTTTCAATATATTTATTTTGTTTGTACAAAATAAATAAATAATTTTTAACAATGCAATAGTCTTCGTTAGGCTTAACGTCGACAAAAATTCAACGTGAAGTGACACGCGACGGAGAAAAATTTCAACATCGGATATGTTAAACTATTCTTTCGTACATAATCAGTTATCTGAAATATCAGTTATCTGAACAACCCCAGTTCCCAATTGATTTGGATAATCGATGCTCTACTGTATGTTAAAAAATGTTTTTAGTTAATTTTTTATTTGTATTTAAGTTGTGTGAGTTAATTGAAAATTGAAAATTTTTCAGGAAGCCACCGAAGAAGAATTAGAAAGATTATTAGATAAAATTATGGTTTTATTTAGATTTATTCATGGTAAGTTGTTGCTAAGTAAAATTAAAATATCTTTATTTAAATGTAATTACATTCCAATTTTTATATTTTATTATTTTGTTTAATAATAATTAATTCATTAAATTTGATCAGTAATCTTGACTGTCATATTAAAATATCTGTCATAGATCATAAATGAACAGTTGGAATTTTCTTAAAGCATGGAACTGTTCTTAATAGTGTATTGTAACTCTGGTGTTAATTTTTCTTCAAACATAATAAATACACTTAAAATCTTTCCTGTTTTAGTTTTTTATCCTTCTAAAAATTTAAAAATAAAAATGCACTTTGAGTAAAAGAATTTTATTCAAAATACATTGAGAATAGAGAGAATTTTGAAAGTACTTTATAATTAAGTGTTTCCAAAAATTAAAAATTTTCTTTTTAAAACTTTTATAACTTTAGTTTATTATTATTTTTTACTTTCCTTGCTGTTATATATGACAGGGAAAGTATGGCAATTGGTCAAAAAATGACCTCCCCAAGATTTTTATATTTTTTGAATTCAAGACAACTTCAAATGTCAAGAAATGCAAAAAATTTAGGGTTTTCTCATGTAAGGGTTTGGATGTTAGTGTGTATGGGATAGGCATGATTTTGTTTACCTGTTTGAAGCTTAATACAGGGTTCCTATACACCTGGAAAGTCATAGATTTTCATTAGTGTTCAGAAAAAGTCAATTAATGTCAACAAATTTGTTAAAAATTGTCAAAGTCGGAATTTTCTTCCTGGCTGCCTTGTTGATTTTTTGCTGACAATATGCTTGACTATGTGTGTGCAGGCAGCAACAAGTAATGTGATGCACTACAACTTATGAAAAGGGGTGCAGAATATTTTCAGGACCCAAAATTTTTCCCAAGCTTACACAAAATTTTTTCAAAAATTTACAAAGGACACAAAATGATAGTTTAAATATTTTTCATTTTAATAATTTTGATTGCATGACAAAACAATTTCTGATTTTTCTTCCAGTTTTTTAATATTTTATAAAGTTCAGGAAATTTACTAAGAAATAAATTTCATAAATATATACTTTTGTATGTGGATTATATATAATTTGTTAATGAATAATAATAAATAATTGTTTTTCTTTTCAAAGCCTTGCAGATTTATGGTTATGGATTTATAACAGAATAACAGAATTTAATAATACATTTTATTTTTAATTTTAATAATTCAGCAATTAGAAAAAAATAACTAGTTAAAATGTTGGAGAAGCAAAACATGTGCTTAGTAAGTCAAATGCTGTTTTATTTTGTCAATGTGCCATACTGTAAGTGACATGAGGGTCAGGGAATTTGTACAAAGTTGGTCAGGGAAAGTCATGGAAATTAAAACAAAAATTTGAGTATGAACCCTGTTAATAACTCCTGTGCTTTTTGTCAAAAATTTCTGAAATTTTGCAGGGAAGTTTGTTTAGTAGGGGTTAATAAACAAACTTCCCTGTTGCTATTAAATTTTGCTGATTAAATGTCAAGAAGATGGAGAGATAGAGGGGGTATCTCCAGTAGGGTCAGACTTAATGACGATTTTACTTATTAGCATTTACAATTTTTTATAAAATCATCCCTACCCTCAAAATNACTTATTGGTATCGTAAGATATATTCTTAGAAGAATTTGCATATTGGAAAAGGTTGATATTATATTATTATTTATAATAAAATATAACATTTCTTGGGGATTTTTTTATGTGGTTTTAAAATAGCATTAAACTGAAGCCACTCGTCACAAATCTCATGAATGTAAATATCTATTTTATACATGTTTTTATTAAGATTTATTAATTCATTTTAATTATAAATATACTAAAAATAATATTTCCAGGGAAAGATGTTTTTGAAGCATTTTACAAAAAAGATCTTGCCAAAAGGCTCCTTGTCGGCAAAAGTGCTTCAGTAGATGCAGAAAAATCTATGCTTTCTAAATTAAAACAAGAATGTGGAGCTGCTTTTACTAGCAAACTAGAAGGAATGTTTAAAGATATGGAATTATCCAAAGAACTTATGCTTGCTTTCAAACAAGTGAGTAACATCTACATTTAAATATAGTTTGCTTTTTAAGAAATTCTTAAATTACAGTGTGTGTGATTTTCCTGTTTTTAGTATTTACAAAATATAAATCCTCCTGGAAGTATCAATATGACAGTTAATATATTGACAATGGGCTATTGGCCAACTTATCAAGCAATGGAAGTTCATTTACCAGCAGAAATGGTCCAATATCAAGAAATATTCAAAAGATTTTATTTAGGCAAACACAGTGGAAGGAAATTGCAGTGGCAACCAAATTTGGGACATTGTGTATTAAGAGCTGATTTCTCTGCTGTAAGTCATTTTATATTATTGCAATCATATTCATATTTTAAAAATATTGATTTGAAGTTGAATTTTTAATGCCAGGTTTTTCACTACATTATTGAAATATTATGAAAGACTAATTATTTCAAAATATTTATCATAAGTGTTATATTTTAAGATAAATTTTATAGTTGCTAAATATGATAGTTGTAAAGTTTACAATTGAATGACCTAAAGGAAGAAGGAAGTAATTAGCAAAATGATGTTGTGAAATGTAAGTTCAAAGGTTTTTATATACAATACATCAGTATTGCATATTGCCTTTTTCCACCACCAAACTGCAGAATGGATGAGAGTAATTTCTTGAATCGTTTACCATGGGATATATATAGGCATTTACCCCTTTCTTCCATACCACTAACTCAAATTTTACAAAAATATAAGTTACCGTCTACTACTAAGCCCTTCAGTTGTTATTTTTCTATTAAAATTTATTGCTTTTAATCATTTGAAGATGCACTTATTTTTAAGTCAAATTATAACAGTTTTAAGAAATTGGACATTTTGTTGGAATTTACATTACTCCTAGTTCTGTCACTATTGACAAAAAAATATACCCTAAGCAAAGGCCTTCAACTGTAAGAGGGCCCAAGTGAGATTTTATAATATATTATATATATATTGTAATCATACACTTAGTATCAATCTTCATGAAAAATAGATTGATACTAAGTGTCAATCTATTTTTCATAAAGTATTCCAAATTGACTGTTATCCAATATCATTAATTTAAAAAAATATATTTAATTATAGGATGTGAAATAGAATGGGCCTACAAAATTTATTTTTTACAGTGCTCCGAGACCCTTCCTTAATCTTGCACTGTATTAGCTATCAAATAATATAAAACTCAAATGTTCTAGACTCAAACTTAGATTCCTAGATTAGGAACTGATTCCTTTATCATTTTGGTTATTCACCTACTGATGGCATTCCTATTGCAGAGTGGCATATTGAAAGAATAATAGTATAAATAATACAATTTTGTACAATGATTTTTGATTTTCCTGGCTGTTATATATAACAGAGAAAGTATTGTAATTTGTCAAAAAGTGACCCCTCAAGATTTTCACATTTTTGGACTCAGAGAAATGCAAAAAAATTCAAGGATATTTTCTGTTTTTATGTATGGGGGGGCATGATTTTGTTCACCCTCTTTGAAGCTTAATAACTTTCTGTGCAGGTAGGTTTTGTTTATTAGGAGAATTGATGCTATTAAATTTTGATGATTAAAGGTCAAGGGGTAGGGTGATGAAGGGGGTTGTGTGTATCTCCAGTAGGGTCAGACTTAATGAAAATTTTACTTGTTATTAGCATTTACAATTTATTATAAACCCATCCCTACCCTCAAAATTAAGCTTTTTGCTATTTTATAATAGTTAAAATATAAAAGTTTCTAAATAAAATATGATAACAGATGGTGCCACCAAATGTTGCTGGGAAAGTTAAGCAACTTGTTACTAGATTTTTTATATCTGGGGTTTTTGTCACTTGAGTTTCCATTCTGGAATAAATTTAAATTAATATATTTAACTGCAGATAAATTTTTGAGGAATTATTATTTTAGCTATTAAAATAGGAAAATAAATTTAAATATATAAACTTGATATAGTTTTTAGCAAAATTTGTTAAGTTTCTAAATTGTCAACTATATCCATTTTTTTTTAAACTGAAATAGATGAAGATGCTGAGATGTATTGCATCCCGGTCAGAATGTCATATTAGATATAAGAAAACATTTCTTTTTTTTTTTAATTGAGCTAAAGCACCACCATATAGTATTATGCTAGTCTGAAAATGTTATAAACCGATTTTAGTATTGGATGTATAAAAAAAATCATATAATTCTTTTTCTGATTTTTCAATTCTGCAAAAATATTAATCAAAGAATCGTTATCTAATTTTTGTGCTAACTCAGATTCGATATTTAGTATTGATAGTGCAGGTAATTTATCTTCTTTTGTTGAATTTCTCAAATAATTTTTAACTCTTCATTGTAGAGAAAGATCTTTCACCACTAGCATTACTTATTGGCATCGTAAGATATATTCTTAGAAGAATTTGCATATTGGAAAAGGTTGATATTATATTATTATTTATAATAAAATATAACATTTCTTGGGGATTCTTTTCTATATCTTTTAAAATTGCAACATATTCTTAAGCTTGTTCTTCAATAGAATCAAAATCGTTTCTTAATTCTTGAACAAATCCTATAAGACTNTAGAAGAATTTGCATATTGGAAAAGGTTGATATTATATTATTATTTATAATAAAATATAACATTTCTTGGGGATTTTTTTATGTGGTTTTAAAATAGCATTAAACTGAAGCCACTCGTCACAAATCTCATGAATGTAAATATCTATTTTATACATGTTATTAATATTTATTATCTCAAAAGAATCTGCACTATGTGTGTTTGTTTCAGTAAATAAAAAATTAAAAATGTTGTTAATAGATGCATATGCTGTTTTTCTTCTAATCAATTCATTGACTAAAGAATCACATATTACATAAAAAGTATTTATTTTGAAATTATCCTTTGTAGAAAATTGAATATCATCATCACAATTATCATCAAATTGGCACTTTCGTTTATAGATTCTCTAAAAATCAGTCAAATAAATTGCATCTGTAAAATTGCCACATAATTCTTTAGCTTGTTCTTCAATAGAATCAAAATAATTTCTTAATTCCTGAACAAATCCTATATGACTTTCATATAAAGTGCAAGCTACATTTAAATAACCAGTTATTTCTTGCAATGATTTGCTTGTTGCATTAATCTTGTTTAATATTTTGTTCCACAACATAGTCATTAAGCAAAGTTCAACACAGTCATATTATCATATAAACCTCCTGCTTCTATTTGGGTTAATCTTTTTTGAGACACATCATCTAATTTTTGAAGTGCTGATTTAATTTCATTGAATCCATTGATAATGGCTCTAATAGCATCCGCTCTTGCTGATCATCTAGTGTCACTAGTAGGTTTAATAGTAAGTGGTTTATTCTCTTGGAAAAGATTTTTTACTAAATTCCATCGGTATGTTGACTTAGCAAAAAAGTGTAAATATTTTGAATAGTACTGAAATATCTAACTGCCAATGGGTAACAATCTGAAGAAGATTGTTACCCATTGCCAATTTAAAGAATGACTGTTGCATGGAACATAATGAGTGCTTTCACTGTAACTTTTTATTTTTGCTTGAAGACCATTGTATTTGCCAGCTCAATTCAATGCATTGTTATATCTTTGGCCTCTGCAAGTTTTTATATTGACTTTTAAACTATTCAAATAACTTACAACCAATTCCTGTAAACAGTCAGTAGTATGCAGAAAAATAGGAATAAAATTCAAAAATTGCTGAACATGGTTACCATTTGCCAAAACATATCTATTATTGTCATTTGGTCAATATGACTTACATTAGGCTTTGAATCTAATATTAAAGAATAATATTTTGTTTCTTTTAGTTCATCTAAAATAGTGCTTCTTAATTTCGCTGCCATAATTTTAACAAATTTGTCAGATTGTTGGGGACAAATAGATGATGTGCCCAGAACCAGGGATTTTATATTTTTTCAAATGGCTTGCTAAGAAAGGATCATACTCACTAAGGTACTGTAGTGCAATTAGTTTCCATTATTCAACTTAAATAATTTAGTTGTTGAGCCATAAAATGCTAAGGCATTTTTAGATAAAAAAAATTATTGTTGAGACAATCTTTTTTAATACTTCTCTCCAATACAGTTTTTTCATATTGCATTGGTTGTTGATTTCTATACCAATTCAACCCTTCAAATTTGATCTAGCAATAAATGCACCTATACAAGTTCTATGTTCAGTCGAATTTTTATGATCTTTACCTATCGTGTATGTTTTTTCTATTGTCAAAACCCTACTTTTGTGAAAATTGTGTATTTTTGTTAGAAAACAATTTGCATACATAGCAATATACAGACTTTTTTTTCTGCTGTAAACAAGCCATTCTCCATTAACAATTTCTTTATTACCCTTTTCTTTCATAAATGCTGTTTTATGCAAGGTTCTTGTAATAGTTTTGCCTTGTACTTGAAATTTTTTTTTGCCTTATGTATAAATTCAATATTCTGATGAGGTTTGTTTCTAATGTAAATATTTTTCATCTCCAGCATTAAAACTTCTAGCCATTCACCAATATCATTTGAAAATGATTCATAAATTTCAAATAATAATTGTTTGCTGTGATTGTTATTTTCTTGGGTTTTCAAAATATTTTCATGTTCTTCAATGGCATTGTCTTTATTTTGTTATTGGAGATTTTTTTGTTCCTCAATTTTACTTTCCATTTCTTAATTTTGTGTTTTTTAAATAAAAATGGCATTAAAGCATTCTATTGCTTTTTGTTTTCTTCATCTTTTACTTTCTTTTTTAATTTTTTTCATGACCACTTGCATGCTTGTAATTACTGATTTTTTATGGTCAACTTGTATCATAATATTTCATAAGCTATTAGTGATATCAAAAAGTTATAACACAGAAATGTAACCCTTTGAAAACTGACTAAAGTGCAACAATAAATGTAAAAGTGATAAATGAAAAGTGAGAAGTCAAGTTATACCAGTTTTCACAGGACACACAGATATAAAGATAAATATTAAAATTACTTACTTATATTATAATATATGTTAAATAGAAACATGCAAAACATGTACTTCAAAGAAAGAAAAACTACAACTGCAAAAATAGGTTATAATATATCCAATCCACCTTGACAAACTCAGGACTCTAACACAAAAATTACCTACAGAATGATGCCAAAGTTTCACTAGTGCCATCTGATCGCATCACCTAATTATGAAAACTACATAACAAAATAATTTGTTCTACAAAAATGTTAATTTAGTTGTAATGTATAATTTTATTTTTATATTTGAATATCTTACTTAAATTGTATTTTTGAAGCTACAATAAAATTATGCAGCAGTAAACGTTATATTTTTCTCAATGAACACTGCTTTATTCTGAACTTCACCAAACAGATCTAATATGCATATACAAACTTTATCTAATTCTCAGTGATGTTGTTAGATATCAGGGCAATAGGTAATGTCATTCTTAATTATTAACCCTTGAATATGGCGTGCTAATAATATAGTAATTCGCAATACTAATAAAACAATGGCACATTTAGAACCTATTATGTGGCCCATGTAATTACAGGCCCCAAGCAAGTTCCTTGCCTGCCTTGTGCCAAATTAGGCCTTGACACCCAATAGATACAGTATGGAAACAGCACATTACATGCAATATAGGAGCAATGAACAAAATCTTGTTAAAATATAAATACTTTATACATTTCTTCTGCTAGGTTTTTAACAAACTGCCCGAAGATTTATAAATTGTCATTCATCAAGAAGTTCTTTTAGGAAATTAATATTCAGTTACAGCTTTGGTGAAAACAAATATAATTTATTTGAAGGAGAGTTAAAAGAACATGAATTTTTTTTTAATGCATGTTGAAGATCTAAACCACTTTTGATAGTAGAGAAGATTTTATGAAATCAAGATAATGTATGACAACAAAAATAAAATCTTTTATTATTTTATAACCATTATATGGCCTTGGGCATTAAAATTAAGGAACTTAACTGAAGAAATTTCTAAACTCCAGGGTTAGCAGAAACAACACTACAGAAATATGAAGTCATGTAGGAAAATATTGAGCTTTTAGAGGATGCACTACAAAGAGAACTTCTTGAGGCTAACAATCTGTGAATCTTCAGCCACAATTTATTTTAAAAAGATAAATAAGGAATATATGATTTATCTCTTGAACCCATGTTAAAATAATTTGCAACAAAACCAGAAGAGTTTGTAAGATTGGCATCAAGATGGTGACCATGAACTTTTTGAAAGAATCTTTAACCTAATCTTCTTTATCCCAATTTGGTTTATTTTTATATATGACTGTCCTAAAGGTTGTATATGAATTTTTCAATGTGTTAGTCAGAGAACATTGGTCTTATATTGTGTTGTTTGGAAAGTAATTTCATTTTTTTCCATGGAAAAAAAAATATTTTTATAATAAATAAATATTTTATTGAATTATATTTCGACCATTTTGGTCAAATACCTGTTGTCATCGTTTCTGGTAGTAGCATGATTTCACATTCATAAAAGTTTCAATCATTGCTTACAAAAAACTGATCCAAGTGATTTTTGACATTGTCATTTCAAGTAAATGTCTTACAGTTAAAAAAAAATTGTATAGACCGGAACAAGTAATAATCTGAGTATGCTCAATCAGGCAAATATGGTTGGTGTGATAGTACATCCCATCTAAGTTATAACAGTTTCTGACAAGTTACCAAACTTGTGTGAAATTTGACATTATCGTGGTAAAACACTACACCTGTTTTGTTGATCAATTCTGGCCGCCTTTTCTGTTTGATGATATTACTCAATTTGTTTACTCGATGGCAGTACACTTTCGAATCAATTGTTAAATTGTCTAATAAAAGCACCAAAAAAAATTTCCTTAAAATCCCACCAAAGTCTCTTTAAGAACATGTGGAACCCATATATCAAGCTTTGAAATGAAACCAGTTTGTTTCAAGTAATCATAAACAGTTTAATTTGACAAATTTAATCTCTTGGTGATTTCACATGTTGTTATTTGGCAGTTTGCTTCAATCAGTACCTTTATTTTGTTTTCATTGGCGTCAACTGGCCATCCAGAAAGTGGTGCAACTTCAATATTGAAATTGCCAGAATGAAATTTTGTAAACCAGTTTTGGCACTGTCGTTCTGTCAATACATCTTCTCCATACATGTCACACAATTCTTTTCTCGCTTGAACAACATTCTTATCTTTTCGGTAATAAAAGAGCAAAATATGCCGAAAATGCTGCTTTTGATCTTCCATATTTGATAAAACACAAAAAATAAACAATTGCACAAAATCAAACAAAATTTTTTACAAATAAGCCTTAAAATGCTAGCTGTCAAAACATATAATGATAATACAGTTTAGAATGAAAATGGTGTGAAAAATATGACTAATCTGTCTAGTGGTAAAAAAAAACGAAACTACTTTCCAAACAATCTAATATTTTGTATTTATTTTTGCTTATTCATATGATAGCATCTGTTCAAAAATTATTTACTATTAGTTCTGTCTTCTCAACTTCAACTTCCTGGTTAGAAGAGCACATAGAATCAAAATGCATATAAGATACTATTTTTTGTCAAAACTCCAATATAAGAAGTTAATAAATATTTTTTAAGAATCAAATTTAATTAAATTAAAACTCAATACAATTAATGCTTAAAATTTGAATATATTTTAGGGAAACAAAGAACTTCAGGTATCTTTATTTCAAGCATTGGTTCTTCTTATGTTTAATGATGGAGATGAATTTGTTTTTGAAGAAATTAAACAAGCTACTGCAATAGGTAAGTAATTCATAAATAAGTTACTTTTATTTTGGCAAACTAATACACATTATTGCTAGTTTTTATTCTATCAACAAAAGCTATAAAGTAATTTAATCAAAATATTTTAGACTTAAGCTAAGTTTTTAATATAAACATCAGCAAATCATGTAATACATTATAAGTACTATTACACAGTTTAATGGATGAAACAAGATCTGGAATAAATGTTTATATCTTAGATCAAAGAATATAATTGTATTTATGAATTGTCAGAAAAAAGTTATTTAACCTAGTCCATGCGAACTATCTACAGAAAAAAATTGAATGGAATTCGTCGTGCAACGCATTTTTTGAATTTTTGGATAATTTTTTAAATCGAGATATTTCGCTTCAAAATCGCGCTATATTTAATCTGTTTTTTGTGTTTGATTAAAAACATATTGCAGTTTACGATTGTTTAATTTTTAGTTTAATACAAATTTAAAATAATATTAAAATTTCGACGTTCACGAACAATAGAAAAAAAAATTAATTTACAGAGATTCGCTGAACTTTGTACATCTGTTCGTTAGACACATCTGTCTTCTTTTAAACAAAACAAACCGCAGCTCTCTAGCTAAAGCGGGGGAGAAGTTATTGCCATTATTTACACTACGTCTCTAATTACCCTGCGGGGAGAGGGGAGTGGGGAGTGGCTCGGGTATTTGTAGGTCAAAGATTATCAACATACTTTTATAAGAGTGAATATTTGACACTTTTTACATATTTTTTCAACGTTTTATATAATAATAACCTATAATAAATGATTAGTTAATTTTTTCCTGCGATTACGCAATATCCGGAAGTAATGAGTTTCCCGGAAAATTTTTCAGCTGGAAGATTTTGATAAAATATCTTCTTGTCTAAATAGAGTCAAATAACATGAAAACTAGAAAAATTACGCTTTAAAATAATGAATATAGCTATTTTTTAACGTTTGTTTACATAATAACTTTAATCACGTGGATTGATTCTTCGCGGGAAAATCCAGACTACATGTTCTGAAAAAAGCTCTCATTCGTTAAAGTTAAATCAGTTATAATATAAATGACCAATTAGAGCGTAATAAGCGTAGAAACAAAAATTTTAAAGCCAATTAACAGGAAGAACGTCTTCCATAGACTTACTATAGAGAGGTGGAGCTTCCCGGGAATATCTCTTGCTAGATAGTTTTAAAAACATATTAATACTATTAAATATTGTCGAATTAGCTAATTTAATGTCTTAAAACGTTAAATTAGTTAATTAGAGCTAAAAAAACGATTTAAAAAGCGAATTTATTGTGATTGTTTACATTTTACTTCGAAGGTTGGAGGCGGGACTTTTCGCGGCAATTTTTCCTTTCACAAGTCTCTGATTAGTTACAGTAATGTTAACAAAGACAGAAGATACCCAATAAAACTTTAGAAGGAGTTTCCTTTTGATTGTTTTCAACAACTGTCTAGTTAACTTGGAAGATTTACTGTAAATAGTAGGGGAGTGTTTTTCCCGAAATATTTATGGCCCAGGGGTGGTAACAAAACGCTTATTGGCTTAAACAAAGTCAATCGACCTACAAAAGAGCGAATCATAGCTAAAATCGCAAGAAAACTCGAATATAACGCGAATTGTTCAATTTTTTTTATTAAAAATGCGATTTCGCGATATCAGCATCTCATTAATAATAGGTGGTCACGTGATCCCGCGATAACGCGGTCATCGCAGCAGCAAGGTTAATTTTACATTTCTAATTTCAATTGTGTTAACCTCTTAATTAACCTGTAGATTTGGGGACAATATAGGCAAAAATGTACAGGCTCTAAGATAGCTCAGGATGACAATATCAGCAGAAATGTGCATGCCCCAAGATAACTGGAGCAGCATCAGATTTAATGTTATGTAATGAAAAATAATCTCAAGAAAATCATAAATGTATGAAAGAACAGTTGTTTTTTTATTTGCACCTAATTTGAATACATTTTGTAAATTGTCCTAAGCAGATTTATTCTGCATATTGACATGCATTATATTAATATAAATGAATTCAACAATTAATTTTAATCATTGTGCAAAAGAAGAAAAAATTGTTTTTGATTAACCCCTTTCTTGTTTGGCCTCATATATGTAAATACTGTACATAATTATGTTCCATTATTGATTTCCACATATAAAATATAAAGTGAGTGTTTTTACAATTGATGATGTCAAAAGCATAGTTAGCAAAATGATTAATATTTTACAAATAACCAAAAAAATTAATATCAAAGGCATTAGGTAATGGCAGATATTTGCAGTTTGGATATAATGATGCTATAACATAGGAATATCAAACATAAACTCCAGTTAGGATGGTAACAGTTTGGTGACAATGTGGAAAGTGTCCAGATTTATAAGTATGCAGAAGGAGGTGTAATTTTTCATACATAAATTAGAAAGTTTATTGATTTTTACAAAATTTATAGTCAGTAAAAATCAAAGTTACTTTTGATCCATTTGTGCAATTAAAGTCAATGAATTAAAAACCAATTATTTTGTGATCAATATTACAATTTTCTTGCATCCTCCCAATCGCAGAAAATAATAAAGATAAAATTAAATAGCCTAAAAAATGATATTTTAAAGATAATACTTTTTAAAAAACTTTTTTGCAGTGATTTAAATATATTTAAAAAAATAAAACAAGAACAAACAAAATTATAATACAAACATGATTAAATTTTGAATTAATTCATAATTTGTACTCACTATTATTAATCTTGAAATTTGTATTTAAATAAGTGTTTAAAAATATAATTAATTCAAATCATGTTTAAATTTGAATAATTTGTAACTAGCATATCTCATATTTTGAAAATTAAGATCAAAAAGAAAATCAGCATGTAATCAATGGATTTACAGAAATTGTGTAATTTTGGGGATTTCCTGAAATGCATGTATTCTGTAAAATCCTGGAACATGAGAAAAAGCAAAAGACTAATTTTCCACAATATTCTAGTGTTTGATAGTATTCTATAATTTTTTATGTTAGCAAATTTTCTTTTTATGTTCTTTTCCACTTCTTTAATTACTTCAACTTTTCTTTGAAGATAAATTTCTATATGCTCTATTCTTGGACACTGTAAAAATGTGACTAATAAATCCATTTATCTAAATGAGAATGCCATTAAAAACATGTTTAATATGGCTCATGAGGTCCTAATATTTGTAATGTCATTTTATTTTCCCATTTTTTGCCTTGAGTTTAATTAAGCCTTTATGCCAACTCTAATTAAGCTGATAATTGTGGCAAAAAAAAATATTTAAAGTAAACTTGGCCAATAAAAAGATGAGAATAAACTATATATTATTTTAATACCTAGGAGGTTGTGGAGTATGTTGATACTTGGCAGGCTTAAAACCTACAGCTCTAAGATAAAATCCGTGCAGACACCAGAAGCCTACAAAGTTTATACATGGCCTGAATCAAGAAAAAATTGCTCATAGCTGATATAATGTAATATCATAACTTTGTCTATTGCATTTTTATAACCATTATGAGTTTATATAATTTGTCTAGTTAAAGCATGTGACATATGAATTGATAACAAATAATAGGACAAAAGTAATATTTATTTGAGAAATTCTGTTTAGACTGATAAAGAAATTCATTTCAGAAAAATTCATTCAATTTTATTGATGAAATTAGAATTGTACTCAAAACAGTTTAATATTCTGAAACTGTTACAGGAATATCTGAACAAAAAATACATCTTGTTTTTTTACACTGTTTGATATAACACAGCTAGAAAAAATAAATTTGCTTTTTACATGATTTGTTTAGATCTTGCATGTTTTAATAAATTGAGTTTTTAAAAATTGCGATTTGATTTTAATTCTTAAGAATTCTTTAATTCTTAATTCTTAATTTAATTCTTAAAAATATTCATATTTCCTTTTCTACAAAATTGCTTTTTTTTTAAAAGAAAAATTCTTAGAATTTGCATTAATTAAGTTGCTATACATGCTGAAGTAAATTTTAAGACAGTTGTTCATTTTCTTTCTTATTGGAACATGTTTAGCAACAATCAATGTTTCATTCTGATTTTAACTTGTGATTGAAGTAGTCAGAAAAAATTTATTTTGAAGTTTGATTTGTTTGTATGATTGCATTTTTTCCAATTTTTTTTAATACAGAATCGTTTTTATATGGCATTTGCTGTTAACAGCTAGTGGTATTTTGGCATTTAATTGAAAAATTTGAATTAAAATAAAATGAAAATAAAAGTTATACAAATAATATAAATTTATTAAATTTGCTGATAAGTAAGTTAGAGAATTGTTCTCCTGATTTACTAACTAAAATGAAATATTTTGCTTAAACACATTCTGTTATATTAATTGGCTTATTGTATTATTTCTACTGGTTTATAAGGTCAAATACCAATCTTTCATTTTACCATACAGGTGGTATCTTAGAGATTTTTTTGTTGGGAATGTATCTACCGTGTAAAAACATAATTGGGTGGATATATAAAATTATAAATGTAAAATATAGAAATAAAAATAAAATGATAAAGTACATAAAGGTTAAATAAAAAAATTTTGTATACTAATTATACAAAAGTACTTAAAATATTTAAATTTGTATTTTAATTTTAGAAAAATATATATTTGAACTGTATAAAAGGTATTAATTTAAAGTGTGTTAACATTAATAAATAAAAATTAAGACTTAAATGGTCATGTTCTGTAGAAAAAGGTAAACAGTGGAAAGCATCTTAAATTCTACTTAGCTAGTAGTAATTCATTTTTATTTTACAGAATTATCTTTAAACAGAATATAATCATGAAATGAACAGGCATTCACAATTTGGTATAATAAGAGAAAATGTTAAGTCACTCAATGACTTAATGACCTATCTTTAATGATTGCTCAGACTTATAACCAGCTCACCTTTCTTAATATTTGTCTAGTTCTTGCAGTATTCACTATAATGAAGCATTTTCCAGGACAAAATATTTTGTTTATAAATTTGTACCTTATTGTGCATTTCAAGGATTTGATGACTAAAATATTAATTTAAATGTTTTTTTTTTATGAATGAACTTTAATTTTTTAGTACTTCATTTTTATAATTTTTTCTGATTGTATTTTTATATTCTGTAATTTGTAAGAAATTCAAATTAAAACAGTTTGAAGTTAGAGTTTCCTTTAGAACTTTTTATTATCCAGAATAAATAAAAACAATTAAGTTCTTTGTTTAACAACCAATTCACTGAATGGTTGTTAAAGTCATAGGAATGGAACTTACTCATTGAGTGAAAAAGTATCTATATTTGATATGGTATGTCATTGCAAGAAACTTTTTGTGTGAAAATGAAATTTTTATGATCAGAATTTTGGAAGAGTAAAGGTCTCTAAAATTTTACTATCTATGTAGTTTGTGTTTATATAGAAATAATTATTTGGCTGTATTTTTATTAAATAGTAAATTATCAATTTTTCAGAGGATGGAGAATTAAGGAGAACTCTTCAGTCCTTAGCATGTGGTAAAGTGAGAGTATTACAGAAGAATCCAAGGGTATGTCTTTCATTATTAAGAAATATTTTAAAATGTATTACTACTTTCTGCATGTCTTTAAAATGTACAAATTAGCTTAAAATTTTTAATAACTTAATTTGATTACTAAATTCTTCTCATATATAACATTTCTATTTGAATTTGTGTAAGATTTTCAAATTTTGTTTATAATAATAGCTAAAATAGAATTTTATATTCAGAACTGTATAAAACAAAATTATCTGTTTAGTGGTTTTATATACATGTATGGAATAATGATTCAATTTTTTTTATTAATATAAATTTAGATATCTAGTTTTTATCATTTAATAAGAGTCAATAAAGAAAATTTGATTTCTCCATAAGACTAATTTGCATGATGTAACAAGTATACCCAATAACAGAACAACATGTAATTATGGAATTTCTTTGCAAATATACAATAATTATTAAATTGAATCATTTTATTAAAAATTATTAATTTTTTTAATAATTTATATTTTTAACATTAAAATAAATTTTTAAATTAATACACTTACTTAATGAATGAAAACTGAAGTAATAAGTTAAATTTAAAGTTACTTAAAAAGTAAAAAGACAATAATATGATTAATGCAGAATTGCAAATACCATTTTATCTTGGCATGTATAGTACTAATTTGTTATTCTGTGGCTAATGACAAAAGTTAATTGATATAGATGTGTGCTTATTCTTTTCATCTTGAAAGTAGAGATCAAACTATTTGTAAAACAGTTCTTCATTAAAATGGAGATTCTTTATAAATATTGAATATATTTTCATATTATTTCTGAAGACTATTTTAACCCCTTCTCAGTGGAATTTTTAATTAAAATCCATATTTCTATTGTGTTAATTAATTTTAGAAAATAATCTTTTTATATTTAAATATAAACAATAAAGTTTTTGTGGACTAGAGTAATTACTAGTCCATAAAAACTTTGTTTGAGATTGGCTACTGCCAATCTCAAACAAATAAACAGAAACAAAATACACAACAATAAAAAAGGTCCCTAGTAAAAACAATTACATTACACATAAGTAAAAACAAAAGTTAAAAAATTAAGCATGAACAAATTAATAATATATACATAATAAAATATAAAAACAGTATGATATAAATGATAGTAAAACAATCATTTAAAAATGTGATTTAAAAAAAAAATAGCATAAAAGTGATAGAATAAAAAGTAGGCTATTCTCAGGTTTTAGAATGCTAAATACTAAAATTATTAGCAAGTATAAAATACAGAATGGGACAAGATAATTAAAAGCAATTAAAATTATTTTAAAAATAAAAATAACATAGAGGTTTTAACTGTGAATGCCATATGCCAAACAACTGTAACTGGTCTTAAAATACTATATCACAGGAAAAAAGTTGAACAGGATATGAATTATGAACAACCAACTCTGAAAAAAAAAATTATTTTTAATACATTAAGCCTATAATAGGAGGGTGATGCATGAATTATTTCTTGTTTTACAAAGAAGGATTCTTAGGACTAAATTATCAAGAGACAACAGACCATTAAAAAAATTTATAAAACAGACCTGTCAAAGTATTCATTACAATGAGATAAAGATGCTCTTAGTCTAAATCTAGAATGAATATACAAAAAAATGTATAAATAATTAGTGAAATAATCATTTGTTGAGGCAGATAGCAAACCAGTATGATTCTTAAATGTTGAAATCATGTTGCAAATAAATATCTTTTTTAGCATGAACTAAATACTGTTGAGATAAAATATTATGATACTCTATTGCAGTTTCAGTTTTCTCTCTTTTTGCAGTACAATAACATATTTTCGATATTGTTTGTTTTTATTATTGCAAATGAAAAGAATGAGTGAAATGTTGAAACTTAATACTGATTTTACTTAATTTATTTCTAATAACCTTTATTTGTTAATTCCAAAATTTTATATAATTAACAATAAACAATTTTTTTAGGGGAAAGATATTGAAGATGGAGACAAATTTGTATATAATAGTGAATTTAAACATATATGTTTTAGAATAAAAATAAATCAAATTCAAATGAAAGAAACTGTAAGTTGAGCTTTTGAAATTCTAAAAATAAATACAACTTATATTTAATTTTTTAAATAAATTTATATGAAAGTTTAATATATTGCAATATTATGAATTTAAAACAAAGTAGTTATAAGGAAAGTAATCTAATAAAATGGGCATTATTTAAAAAATTTTTTAATTAAAATTGCTTTTAGATATTTTAAGTATTTGAAATAAGATATTAAATAAAAGTATTTAAATTAATATTTCTGATTGTATTAATATAGCAAGAAGAGCAAACTGCTACTCAAGAGCGTGTTTTTCAAGATAGGCAGTATCAAATTGATGCTGCCATTGTACGGATTATGAAAATGCGTAAAGCTCTTACACACAATTTGCTAATTACAGAACTTTATGATCAACTGAAGTTTCCTGTTAAGGTAATAATCAAATTTTTAGTTAATTGGCATAAAAAATTGAAGTTAAATCTGTTGATTTTTTTATGTACTGGGAGTCACAAAGTCCTGTACACATTTTGAAACAACATAACAGAAAACATAATTAACCTCAAATGATATAGTTTATGGAAATAGAACAACTCAAATAGCTTTTAAGATTCAATACACCTTTTCAAGAACACAGTTATTACTGTGTTCTTGAAAAGGTGTATTGAATCTTAAAAGGTGTTGAAGCTGAAGACATCCAACAAATATTCAGTCTTATGCCCTATATTATTGGGCATGTCTGTACTGACAGATTGGATGGCATTAGTGGTTTTGTTTTACAGAACAACTAAATTGCGTTGTTAGTGTGCCAATGCAATCTTTGATATGACTTGCAAGAAAATCCAGGTATGTAATATTCAATAATTTGTGAGACCATAGGATAAAATCATTTCTCCCTGTCATTTGTCTAGGAAAACTTCATTCGATTTGGTACCAACATACAAACCCAATGAGGAGGGGTACCACCATGCTGGAATATGACACGAAATTGCAATTCCTGAAGTTGTGTAAAGACAAACAAGCCCAACAACCCAAATAAACATTTACATTAACTTTGTTTACTGCAAAAAAGAAAGGTCTAATGATTTTGTTGTTAAACAATCCACATCACACTTTTAGTCTAGTACAAATATATTCACTTACCATGTAGGAACTCTAAATCATCACACATTTTTAAAAAAAATAAATTATATATATTTTGGCATGCAGCATTAAAAAATGAACCATCTTAGATATATAATGTAATATAAAAGAATTCAATTTTCAGACAGCTGAAATTTACAAGTTTCACAGACTTCAAAACTTTCTGCTGATGCATCCATATCATCATTGCTACATTGTGACAGTTTTGTCACTTTGCATCTAGTGCATGATTTCACAAATAGCCACAGATGTCAACATAAAATACACACTGACTTTTAGTCAGATATGAATTTAACACAAGTTATAAATTTTTCTTTTATTAAACCTGTAAGTCAATATATCGTAAAGCAAACATAGTTAAAGTTTTGAATAGTCTTGTACCAGCATATTCTGTAGTAGAGGTGGCAAACCTGTGTCATTCATGCCTTAAAGTGGCACATTAGGAGAAATCATCTCACACATAATGATAATTCAAAACTGTATTATACATTATCTTTTTTCAGTTATCCCTTCTTTTTTTTCAAATAGCTTTACTTTTATTTTAAAGTTAATATTTATTTCACTTCTTTAAATATATCACTATTCAAAGTCTAAAAGTTCATCACATTTGTGTGCATGCACACACATTTTTAAAGATAATTATGCTTACTATATGGCATATCAACTCAAAAAGATATGCCATCCCTGTTCCTGAAAAATTTAAAAATATCGCCAACTGTTTGCCAGTTTAAAATTTTTTTTTACCATTTCGAATTCTTTATCACCACCAGTTTTTCTTATTAATTAATTAATGTAATGTTATTCCATTGAAAGTGAAAAAGTTTTCAGCATTGGAGGTAACATTTATGAGCCGGCAAAAAATAGGTTATGCCCTGAAAATGATGAAATTCTCATGTTTTTGCATTGTAAAAACAAACTGTAAAACCCTTAAATTGTAATTTAAGGGTTTTACAGTTTAAATATTAAATTTTTATTTGTTTTATATTTGTTTTGTATTTAAACTTTAAACTTATGAAACAAATAAAAATTTAATTTTTCTTCTTAACCTATTCAATACTTTTTCTTATGTAAAGTTTAAACTTTATATTATACGTTATGTTATACTTATAATATGTATTGATGAAAGGAATAATTTGATTAGTAAAATTTTTTTAATATTCAGATTGTCATGTAATAAATAATAAATATATAACAGAAATTTATTAGTTTTTATTACTAGCATTGTACGTAACATTCTAACAAAAATACCAAAATGTAAAATTGGCCGATTATCGAAACCGATTAATCGGGGGAAATGGCCGATACCGATTAATCGGCTAAGTGGCCAATACGGCCGATTACCGATTAATCGGTGCATCCTTAAAATGATGATAAAAAAACAAATTATTAATATAAATGAAAGACTTAATTATTTCATTTTTATTTTTATGAACTCAATACAGCATTATAAAAAATAACAAAAGTAAAATTCAGAGTTTTGCTAAAAATACAAACATTTGAAGATCTCAATGAGAAATATAATCAATTGTGAAAGAATAAATTATACATTGGAAAATTGATTGCATATAAAGAAGTTGAAAATATCTGAAATTTAAAATTGATCAAAATACAGTTTATGATGTACAGTTGAACCTGTCTATCTTGAATCTCATAGGAATGAGTAATTAATTTTATTAATTTTTAAAAAAGAATCTATAAAAATTCAGATAGATTCATTTTAGTAAAAAATTTGAGATAAACAGGTTTCAAGATACAGAAGTTCCTACACAGTAAATAATAAGGTCTGATTGCAGATACAGTATTTTATTAATACAATAGCAAGTACAGTATATACCTGTATTAAGTATAAATAACACATTTTTGACATATTTTAACAAATAGTTTGTCATTAGTTACTGATGCCTGAAAATAAACAAACCTATTTTTCAGCCAATAAGACATAAGTCAAACTCAGCATCAGCTGGCCGAGTGGATAAAACCATTGGAACACTGGTATGGTCATGGGTTTGGTCATGGCCATGGTCTTTCCCATAGAAAGTCCTTCTGGGAGACATTCCTCCTCAGCAGATCACTCATGTATTGCATTACCGTAAACAAATAAACCACACCAAACTCAGCAAGTTAGAGGAAACTCTGATTGGCTAATAGTTTAGTGTGGTTTATTTGTTTATGACAACTATGTACTGTATTGCAAGGGATATTTTTAAACTATAGTTAATCTATCAAAATGTAGTTGCTGATCTTTGAATTTATAACTGACACTTCAGTCCACAATTTGAGATATAGCAATTTTGGGAGAAGATTATATGAGATAAACATGGGGAAAAAATATTGAATTCAGGCTAAAAATGCAGGGGAAAAAATTAATTTTGAGATAGAGGTTCAACTGTACACAACTTTTTTGTATTTTTAAAATTTTTACTTTCTATAATACAGTAATACCTCGACTTACACGACCCCGGAGTTATGTGATTTTCAAATCTCATCGATTTGTCTTTTGTTTGAGCACCACGCAACTCTTGATTACTCACTCCCCCCACACTATTGTTCAGCTTACATGTTCGGACGTATCGCGCGGAATCGACACATAGCTACAATTTATTTTATGTTATTTATTTCTGTGTTTGTTATATCTACGGAGACTGAGAGACTCTATGTGGTGATTTCTTGTAACCGTGAACGAATGAGAAGACAAGATCAGATTAACGAGAACATTTATTAGCTTACATACATCCGACTTCAATTTTACACAAATTGCGAAATTATACCCCAACTTACGCGGTTATCACTCGGTCCCACCTATTGCGTAAGTTTGAGGTATTACTGTATTTGAAACTGTGTTTATTTAATGTTAATAAAATGGGGGGATATTTTAAACTAATGATAAAGAATTATTTTAATACAACATTTTAAATACCTATATTTCAGAAATTTTGAATTACAGTATATTCCTTTTGAAAATATTTAACAACTGGAATATTTAATTTTAAATGTTAATAGCATTTGAAATAATATACAATCCTAATAAAATAAAATAAATTAATATAAAATGTAAATAAACATAGTATTATTTTTTCATGATGTTATTTATTCTTATTATGTTTTTTATTTTTATAGCCTGCAGATTTAAAAAAGCGTATCGAGAGCCTTATTGATCGGGACTATTTGGAACGAGATAAGGATAACCCCAATCAGTACCATTATGTTGCATAACAAATTTATTTTCAATTAGTTCTAGTGTGTGTTGTTGGGGCCTAAAAGAGACATCTAGTTTTCAGATATATTTACTTCCTTTCTCTATACCTCTGATGGAATTAGTGGTGGATCAAGGGAAAGAAAAGAGACTTAAATCATTCTGTTTTTGGCCCTGGAACATTTTGGACACTAAAAGTGGGATTACTAAACAGACATTTTCTATTATTGCCATCTGGCAAAATAGACTGACCAAGATTTAATCATGCTTGGCATTATCAACTATTGTGACACTTTGTATTTGAATTGTTTCCTAAATCCTTCACTTTGTCACAATTTAAAGACATATGATGATGTAAGTACTTAAATAAAAGCAAATAATTAATGTGTTGAGTGGATTAAGATTATACATTATTTATCTGAATATTTCTTTTCAAAAATGAAAAATTCTGTGATATAGATTATTTTCAAAATCTGAACATCCAATATTATATATAAGGGCAGCATGCTTAATATGCATATATTAATCATACTTCCTTTGTATATGTACTGTTATTTATCTTTGTTTTTAATTATTTTATTATGAGGATTGAATGAAAAGTATTTCCTCCATCTTGATTATTTTTGCTTTAATAACTGAATCATGAAAATTATTCTTGAAATGAGTTTTTTTGTTATCTGATTTACCTCTCTGCATAATGACTATTATTCTCCATAATTCTTGTGCTTACAAAGGACAAGTTTTTCAAAGTTGTCATGAAAGAAGTCCACACTGTTTTGTCCACATTCATGTCCTCAGCTCTTTCCATTTTTTCATTTTGGCATTCCAACTCTTATGTTTTCTCAAAAAATAAAAATAAGACTTTCATGGTCACTTGAATTACTCTGATGAGGAAATGGAAAGGATTATTGGGCATGAATGAAAAATATATATGTAGACTTTTTCTACGATATCTTTAAGAAATACAGTTGGTAGAAATGCATAGAGAATGATGGTGATCACGTGGAGAAGTAAAATATAGGTAAAAGGTCTTATTTCAAGAATTATTTTCTTTCATTTATTACAAAATTCATAATAAGCAAAACTAGTACAGATGGAGGCAAGTTTTCATCCAACCTTTTTATATTCTACTGTGATCATTATTTTTTATTTATGCTAATTAAAATTATTCTATTGAATTAATCAGTATCGCTAATAAAGTATATTTAGAATGTTCATTTATTGGATAATAATCCTGTTATTAGATAGATTTTAGTTTATTTAAAATATTAACTTGATAAAATATTCAGGAGATTGTATTTAATATGCAGTTTAAATACAATCATCTAAACACGATTTTATGCCGGTGTTTAAATATTAGCTTGGTGTTTGAGCAGTTAAAAATTTTTCTGACAAAAAACCAGAATTATTATGAACTTTTTCAAATAGTCAATTCAATTATTTAATTTTTTAAGGATTTTTCAGATTCATCAAAATCCAGCTTCAGAAGGTCTATTACAATTTAATAAACTATAATAGTAGAAATATTTTTTCTATTACTAACAAAGTTTATAGAATTGTATTATGCTTTCTGAAGTTGATTCTAAATAACCCAAAATAACTTAAAAAATTAAATAATTGACTTAACTCCTTTTAAGAAAAAGGTTGTAATGATTCTGGATTTTAAAGAAAAATCGAGTTGAAGAATATATTTTAATATACAGTAGTTTCTGATCTTAGTATAATGGTTACACATCTTTAATTCTTAATATTGGTTCTTCAGATTTCTTAAGTTTAAATGTCAGTCTCATCTCAATTTTATTGTGTACAGCAAGCCAAATGTAGATAATCAAAATAATAATCTATTATATGTATTTAAATTATTAATTTGTTCTTTTCAAACATTAATTTAATGTTATAGAATATGCTTCATTAGCAAACTTATTATTACTTTTTCAATCGTCCACACCATAATTAATGTATTATGGAGTTCTGTTATCTTGATGTTGGCTGATTTATTGTTTTTATTCCTATTTGAATTCATTGCAAACTATTATAAATTAGACTTTATTTGCTTGGAAATTGTAATAAATTTGCAATTATTTTTATATAGAAAAATATTTTTATAGTCTCATTTTATTTAGAATATTTCATATTCCAAAATAAATTCTATACTGTAAACATTAAAAGTATTTGAAAATGACAGATGAAATGCAGTGTTGTTTAACTAATCTATCAATATTTGTTCATATTGGCATATTGTGTGGTCAATTTATAATGTGGAGACAAAAATTCCTGTAGTTATGAATTATTTAAAACTCGTTTCTTATTAAAATTTAATGTTCTTGATGAAGTAACAATGTTATATTAATGTTATAAGTTAAGCTTTTTTTTGTTTTATGTGAGCTTTTTTGGTCAATGTAATAAAAAAAGACATTTATTTGAAGTGAATAGAGCAATTAATATCATTAATATAAAACTACAACTACAAAAACTTCTTGGCTGATTGTGAGATATTTCTTTGCTCTCATTTTTACAAATTGTAACCATAAAGTTTCAGTGGCATGCTGCTATCCATAGTAATTAGGAAAAAGCAGATTATGGATTATCGAAATGCGTAATTTGTGTAAATTAATTTTTATTAATAGCAGTGACAATTGCTTAGAAAAGGGGAGAATCTTCAGATAAGAGCTCTTAAATAACTTAGAAAATTCCTAGATTTGATAGAAAATTTTTTTTTAGTTTCTTTTTATTGGAAATATATTTTAAATTATTTAATTTATTATTCAAACTAACTATTTCTTGGATATGATAATTGGAATCACATCTCTGACTTCTCATTTGAAGGCATTGCGATAAACCAGCCTGAAGTCATCACATCTGGCTCAATGCAGTTAGTCTTCGACTTACATAAACTCGAGTTAAATAACTCGAACTTGGTTTTTTACAATCGTGAAGGTACATTTTGTATGATTTTATGATAATGCAATCGATTTGTATCAGAAAATTAAAATAATAATCATGTATAAAAATGGTTAGTTTCTTGTGGGTCATTCTGGCTATTTCATCACTCTCTCAGGATAAGTTTTTCATTTTTCGTAATAACTATGTTCCTTCTATGAGAATTGCATATTTTTTAAAATTATGTTTATCGTCGACATACGAAAGAAGTTGTCTTTGTCTTTGTGGACAGACTACAAACTTAGCATTTGAGTATGCCCAAGTAGTGTATAATTGCCTTGGAGTGTGCCATTTGTCTCGTGCAATCCAATTGACGTTACCTTTACAGTATGAATAAGTGGTGCTTAATTCCGTGTTTTTTAAATTTTAATTTTATAAAATTAGTTTTTATATTTTGAAGAGAATAATTTACCATTTAACTTATTCAATATAATTTGTGATTATAAATCGAAAACTATGTTGATGGCGAGCGATTTATGAAAAAACTTCGATTTATTTATTATAAAAAAAATTTTGTATTACTGATCCAAATATTGATATTTTTTTTTGGTGGTGAAAGTATAGCTCTTACAAAGTACGGATTATTGTCACTTAATTAAATTGTTATCGATGCATTTATCTAGAAAATTTCGTGGAATTAAAATACTTTGTTCGGTCGCTAAAACAGCCAGTATTTCCTGCCTGCCCACGACCAAATTGACAACTATTACAGCAATGCAATTTATTACTGTAATGATATCTAGCTGCAACACTTCGATCAGCAAACAGACCAACACAGTATTGAAACGTCTCCCATTTTAAAGGAGAGTTGTTCCATCAGTTAGCAGAATTACGGTATCTTCTTCGATTGCCAGAGAATAGTGTACCAACATTTATCGCCGCTTTCAACAGTCACCAGACTAATATATACACAAGCGTTTTTTAACCAGTGGATCCAACTAAAGAAAATACAGAGAGACGACAGCCATCTGCCATGGATCAAGATCAAAATTGAAGATGACCGTTAAATGAGGTCACCGATTGGACATCGCAATGCATCACAGTAAGAAAACGATAGAAATCATTTATTTCCTGCAGTTTCATAGGTTTTTTCATCGTACGTGTTAATTACGAGTTTGCTAGCATAGCGAGTACAAATGTATTTCGCATATGCAGTATGAAAATATATTATTTTGTATTTTTAAGAAACCTGTCTGGCTACATGTGTTTTGTTTGGCTGACAGTGGCTGTGCTAGTAGACCTTGCATTTAATGTCGCTTATTTTACAGGTTACTGTGAATCTTTCAGCAATAAGTTTTGTTCCTATTGTTGCATTCATTGGGGTCCAACCAATACTTTATAAAAATAATCACAGTTAAGAAGTAATTTGAGGAATTCAAATGGACTTTATAGATTAGTTAATACATTTTAGAATTTATTTCACTTTACGCAATATGATTAGACACTTGCCTATCTCATAAGATGAATCTTCCAGTTTCACTCTAGAAATAGATTCACATTCAACCGGCCAGTAAGTAATCAATAAAAATGTTCACATTTTTTTCTTACATGTGATTTGGTTAGCATGGCATGCATTTATTTTTAATTTCTAGGAGTGGCCCTAGATGACAGTAACCGAGTACAAATTGAAATTGTGCTTGTTTTCCAGTCGTTTATGTAAGTTTTGCGTACTTGTCAACGGTCAACATTGAGACGCCTTTATGTTACTATTCGAAAAATGTTTCATTTATGTTTTCCAACGATTATCGATGACATTAAAAAATTACCAGTTTATTTATATTTATATAATGCATAATAAACGTTTTCTATCATCCAATCTGTATTTGAGTACTATTCTGATACTTATTAACGTTCTTCAAAACTGTGTTACTGTCAATGAACTAAATTAAACTATAGCGGTGCCATATTGAAAGAAAATTGAATACACAACTGCCATTTTCCTTTTTAGTCAAGTGGTGTGCCATTTATGTTGCATAAAGGCTAAAATATTCAAATCGTGTAAAAGTGCAAAAGAAAGGAAATTTTAACCCTTAACGGAGATGGTGCGAGTCAAAATGACACTAATTTGTTTTATTTATTTATTTTAAAAGTAAATAACGAGACATTTCTTTTCTTTAACCCTTTATTTAAATTTATAAAGCTTAAAACGAATAACAGTCATCTTTTAATTAAATATTATAGAAAATCATCGCATACTGTAATCGTCAAAATTATAACTTCTTAAAACCCTCTATAAAACTTTCAATAGGACTAACCGCTCCAGCTTTCCAAATGATAAAATACTGAAATTTATTACATTAAGATAACTGACAAGAAAAAATTTAAATCAAACATAAAAACAACCTCTTCAAAGTAGAAATGTTATAACAGGTAAATCAGCGTATATGCATTTTTGCATTAAAACGCAAAAATGAATTTTTTGTTTTTTTTTCCTCTGCTGTTTTCGTTCGTTTATCTTGTATTATTTTTTTTGGCACTTGAAAAAGGCCAACGGGCCACAGTGTCTTTTGAGATTAAAGAGAATCGCTATTTTCAAGTTCTACATAAATTCCTTGTTCTGTCAGTTTTTGAAGATCGTCATTGGCAAGGCTCTCGCCACAAACCTGCAGTAATAACTCCTCAATATCCAGCTCATTTACATCTCCTAGTCTTGCTGTATTGATTAGGTTGACGATTTGGTTTGACAATGACGTTTGGAACGTCGAGCATGATTCCTCTGACGTTCCAAATGCCATTGTCAAATGTCCAGGCTTTTTCGGTGGATCGTTATTCGGATAATCGATGCTCTACTGTATTAACTTTAAAGCTTTTCTAATGTACATAGAAATGAGAAAATACTTACGTGAAACTTTCAAGTCAATCAAAAACCTTAATAAATAAAGAAGAAATGCCTCCCTAAATTACAACTTCTAACAACTTCCTAAAGTTTCACGGCAATCGAATAAACGGTGTGGTAATGCATGAAAGACACACACACACACACACATTTTTATATATAGATAGATAATATGTAGCCAAGCCAAATTTATGTAGCCTAAATAGGGTAGCCAAATTTGGCGCAAAGTCGCCAAATCTGGCAACTTGACACATCCGGACGAAACGAAAAGAAAAAAAATGATAGGAATGTCAAAAATGCGAGTTATATTTTACTTTTGTGTTATTATTTATTTATTTATTTAAACAGTTATCCTCCATATGTCACATAGCTTGTCAAAATCACTGTTTGCCAGATAGAATAATTGAAAAAATCACCAAATATGGACTTAGAAGAGTTGCCAAATTTTTGCTAGTTTGGATAATATTAATTTTATTCGTTTTAAGCGTCAAATAAATTGGAAAAATGTAACGTTTTCATAAAATACAATTGTTTTAACTCTATAATCTTCTTCTCTACAGCTGTCTATCTTCATTTTGGAGAATTTTGTTACGAGTTCATTATCCAAATCAGAATCATTGCGTTTCTCTTCTAAAATACTTGTCATCAGTACACTCGAGACGTTTCAATAGAGAAATAATGAAAGATTATTAGAAACTGCAGCGAAGCAGAAGATCAGGAATAACATCTGAAAAATAATTTCTTGAATGTGAAACGAATAGAATTCGACGTGAGGTACAAAATGGTCATAATTAAAGTTTCTCTGTTCAGAGCTGTAACCAATAAGCAGATTGACACCAAAATTTGTATACATATAGAAAGGATGTGATAAGAGATTTTGCAAAAAAGATTTTTAGTTCAAAAATTTCCGTTCGGGGCACATTAAAGGAAAAATACACTAAAAATAACCAAAAATGCATTTATTTGTTCCGTAAGGTAAGGGACATGCCATCTGCAGAGGCTATTTACTGCTGTCAGTAATGTTACTCAATGTGTGTCCCGTTCTTCAGGTATAAAATTTGAATGCGATGAACAGTATGTTCTAAAACTGATCGTAAATGTTTTCCAGGGATGTTTTTAACTTACAGTGTAATACAATTCTTTCTCTGCCAATGTTGCAACGTTTCCGTGATAAACCGTATGCCAAAGCGTCCCAGAGCTGAAATTTTTGAGCATTTTTAAAAATCCTTTTCCGCATCCTTTGCTTAGTCGGTATACAAATTTTGGCGTCAATTCACTTATTGGTTACAGCTACAGACTGCTCTGAATATAAAAACTTTAATAATGGCCCCTCTGTATATAAAAAATTTAGAATGATGCTTACCTTCATCAACCAATATTAAAGAATACAAGTCATTACGGCATCAAATAAATTTTCAAACAGTTGAATTAATCCAAATATCACCCAATATGTCAGTATAACTTTTGTATCTCGTAGTGTTCCTCTTTGAATCGCATTCTTCCTGCATTTAAATATTCTGTTACGTGAGAAGCTACGAAATTCGAGAAAGTAAATACTCTACAATTAAAACTTACGAAGCGTAAATGAGATAGACGATCGATGTGAAAGTGCAGACAAATTTACTTCCATAACCAACTGCGGTGTATACAACTAGTATAATCATTAAAACTAAATAATAAAAAGAATAATCGGTTTTTAATTCGAAATTAACAAAATTTACGATAAAGAAACGTACATCTGAGCATTTCTACTAAAAGTTCCATATTTTTCTATTAATATTTTAAAATATTTCTTGGTAAAGTTCGATTCTTTCCAATCGTAAAAAAAATTGTTCTAAGAAGTTAAAATTTAAATTCGAAAAACTCTGGGGAAACGCCGTCTACTGGATTAGGACCTATGTTTTTTTAAAATTGTAAATATATTTAAACTGGCTCAAAATTATAATAATTGATATCATTTTTAAAAATATATATTGAGATAAATATTTATCTTGATATCTTTGATATTTTTTATTATAATCTAAGATGAATTTTTTAAAACTCTTTCCTCCTTGTCGGCAATGAGGGCCTAATTTTAGCAAACCAGGTTTACAATGGCGACCCGCTTCTCTCACCGGATAGTGAGAGAAGTGGGTCGACATATACGAATTTCCTCCGGCTCTTCGCGAGTAATTTCGTATGATCGAGCAAAAAGCTTTGGCCGGCTCTTCGGAGAATAAGCGACTACGCAATAACCTCAATATTAACCCCGCTATAAGAGAGAGAACATTCCATAACTGCCAGAAAAATTATGCGACTCGTTGCTAGAATTTTTTGACATTTTTGAGTTCAGATCTCAAAACATGAAGATTTGCATAAAAACTCGGAGAATCAAATTTGATACTATTCCAATACTTTTTCCTTGTTATATAAACATAACAGCCGGAAATGTGAAACAAATCCTACGGGGATAACGTAAGTCATGGATACCGTAACCAAAGTTATAAAAGGGTTCCCACGGTTTATGATTTGCTTAGAAATGACAAAGATACGTTCAAAAAGGAAGAACAATCTGGGCTATACAAGATACCATATAAAAATGATCAATTAGGCTTGAACAAAGAATATAGTTGTCACCACCAGGAATTTCAGCAAAAGGCTAAAAAGAGCATATATACGATGTAAATAAAGGGCACTATACTACTGCACTATCCAGAGTAGCACAAACTGAGGGTTCGGTTGTTGAATGAGGCTAGGATTGTTAGACCGGTGCGCTCACCGTCTTTAGCAATGACTGTAGAGAAGTTTGAAATATATAGATCCAATCTTACTGGTAAATGTTTAAACCATAAAGATGCCACGAGATTACTATCGGTGATCAAAAATAACGCAGTAAAATATAATACGTAACGCGCACTCTGTCGATATAATTACGTATATTGTGTTGATATATTTGTATTTTATTTTATTCCATGTATTTTAATTAGTTCAATTTAACATATTTATACTATCTGTTACATTTTTTTATATATTTGATATTTCAAAGAGATGTTCGAAACAGTTATAAAAAATTTGAATTTTTTTTCCATATAAACGTTCGAACTGGAACCAATACAAAAAACGTTCCAGAGAATTCAAAATACCTGACGATGGCCTGTAGATCAGGTTAAAAACGTTTGTAAAACAATAAAAATTGGTTCTCGGAGACATTAAGGTATGTCATAGTATTCGAAGAACCTCCACAAGTACAAAGTTGCGACATTCAAATC